AGTGCTACATCTAATACCGCAACAGTGCTACATCTGATAACGCAAGAGTACATTTAATACCGCAACAGTGCTACATCTAATACCGCAACAGTGCTACATCTAATACCGCAATAGTGCTACATCTGATAACGCAACAGTGCTACATCTAATACCGCAACAGTGCTACATCTAATACCGCAACAGTGCTACATCTAATACCGCAACAGTGCTACATCTAATACCGCAACAGTGCTACATCTAATACCGCAACAGTGCTACATCTGATAACGCAAGAGTACATCTAATACCTCAACTGTGCATCTAATACCGCAACAGTGCTACACCTAATAGTTCTGCATCTAATACAGCAACAGTGCATTTATAACACATCAACAACAAAAACAGCTAGACTAAGACAGCCAAGGTTTTAGAACTAAGTTGGTTAAGGCGATCCTACAGACGGCCATTAGAACATGACGTCAAGATTATAAAAACGTAATTTTTTTTTTTTAAAGTTTTGTTTTTTGTTTTTATTCTATCCGCACGTCATTTGTAGTTGGTGAACTCTTTAAATCTGCTGAAGCTTTGAGTTTGGCTAATGCATCTTGTGTTAACTAGGGTGATCTATTAACGAGAGGTAAGGTGTAGACTGTGTTTACAGTCTACGGTCCTATGGTGCTTATAGCTACAGAATGAGCTGTGGGTTACCTCATGAGCAGGACACCTTTAGTTGTAGCAATGTAAAAAGAAAGTTGGTACTTATGCAACCCCAACCCCATCTTTTTAACGCCCATGTTAATTGTAGCTATTCTTTAGATATGTTACAATAGTAGAAGTTACAAAATACATTTTAAAAACCACTTGAAGTGCAAACATCGTGGTTATTTATTTAAGTATGGACAAGGTTATTAGTGGGGTAATCGTATATAGTAGTGTTTAACATGAATCCATTGCCAGTTACATTCACGTGCTTAAACTGCTGTTTTCTCTAAGACTACATTCTCAACCGGTGTCTACATTGGGGTGTTTAAACAACACTTTGTCAATGTTGCTATGTGTCATAGATTAAACTTCTTATTAGTTAGTTGGACATGATTCTAAATGGATGCAATGTTTGTTGTTGTTTTTTTTTAATCAAAGACAAATGGAGGCCTACAACGTCTTAAGTTCTCTTCAGACACCCAGTGGTTAAGCAGCCCATGGTAGTGTTGCAGGGCAGTTTATAATTAATGGAAATTATTAAATAGAGTATTCAAAACTCGTATAAATTGCGATGTATTGCTGTCTAATGTTATAGTCTAATATGACTGTGAAATGATGATTCAACTTTCGTTTGCTTTGGGTGGCTGGATCAACGAACATTAGTCGGCTTTTCACTATTGTTGGTTGGAAAGTTTCCAGAAATGAAACAGGGTAATAGATTGTCATTGGCTAAATAGTTGGGGGGGGGGGGGCAGTATTTGATTTAGCTAGGTGAGTACTTCAAAATCAAGCAACTGCTGCTTTGCAGATTGTTCGAGTGTGGACATAGGCTATGGAAGCTAATCCAGAAATCAAATGTGTTGGAAGAATTCCCCTCCAATATTACAAATAACAACGAAGAAGAAGGCTCAATAATTATATTATTTAAAAACATTCTTCATACATCTGTTACATCTGTTCATGCTATAGATCAGGGGTCTCCAAACTTTTCAGCCCGAGGGCCGCATCAAATATCAGCTCGGGGGCCAGAGTTTCTTCCAGGCATCTCTTTGCGGTGGCAACCCCCCCCCCCCAACGAAATACAATCAGTATAGAAATATATACAACTTTCAAGTCCCCCCACCCAACGGAGAAAAAAGTCTAAAAGAAACAATGTCGAGGGCCGCCAACACACTCGAGGTCCAAGTTTGCTCTCAAATTGTTCTTCACGTATTTCATTCTTGAAATTTTTTATTCACACAGGTATGTTGTTCCAAAATTTGAAAGGTCCTTTGATGCCAAATGTTTAATATTAGGAAAGTCTTCTTTTAAGCAAAAACTTATAAAAACCCACCCGCCCTTCTTTGAACTTGTCTCTAAGGATGTCATTTGCTTTCAATTCAATAACCTCCAGCTGCAGTTCATATGGGCAACTGGCCACGTCTGCTTGAAATAGGTTTTGAAACCATCTCAATTCTTCTGCCTTTGAATCCATGTTAGAAAAAAGGTGCTGAAACGTTGATGATCTCGCATGCACATGACGTGGGGAGCTCAGCTGTTAGCCATGAAGACCTTGCACTGCTGAAAGTGCGTTAAGTTGTTGGCCTGTACTTGTTCCAAAAACATGACAAGTTTATATGTGAAGGCCTTTAGGCGGGTGTATAGATCAAAAACTAGATTTCCTTCTCTTGTTGATTAAATTAAAATTACTGGTTATGTCTTCAGCAGAGGCCAATTTCTATACCCACTCTTCATCAGACATTGTTGGCTGTAGCTTGAATTTACTTTCCAGAAAATAACCTATTTCCTTTCTCAATTTTTTGTTTGTATTGTTCAACAAGTCTCTGAACTATCTATGGTTGAGCTCATGTGACCTTATTAAATTCACCATTTTCACCACAGGATTCAGTACACTGCTAATGTCCACATACTTAGCATACAGTACAGGAACATTGGTTGTAGAATGTTTTTCTCATTCGCTTGTCCAAGCAAGTCTTTGTTTATGGATCGCATGTACTTTCGACCATCAAAAGTTAGGTAACTGAAGTTAGTCCAGTCAACGTTAGAATCAGCAAATTAATGGCTTGTTTATTTAACTCATTGAATATATCCTCTCTGGTATATGCACCCAAAGCTACTTTTTCAAACTACTTTGAATTTTCTGGGCAAAGTTACTCAGTCACCTCCTACAAACATTTTTTTTCCGTGGACAGAAAGATCTCCGCGGGCCGGGTGAGAGGACCTCGCGGGCCGCATCCGGCCCGCGGGCCGTAGTTTGGAGACCCCTGCTATAGATTGAATCAGTTTGGGATCTTGCACACACACAAATAGATAGACAAACGAAACGCATCATTGTCCATAAAGGCTTAATCGACAGAGCGGATGATAGGATGAACGGTGTGTATTTGATAAAGAATAAAGGGTAAGCTGGTTTACCTGAAGAAGATTGCTGATGTGTATTATTTGATGAATGAGCTGTCACCATTGGAATAGGCGTGTGTAATGTAATGTAATGGGAATTATCGGAGTACAATGTAGTTCAATCGTTGAAGCTGTGATACTACATCCATTGATATTAAGTTAATTTCACGGTGAATTATTTTCTCAACTAGGCATGGCTTAGGCGCGGTACTTGTCTATGTCATGGTATCAACACAGGGCATTGCTTCAAAAGGTTGTGAGAGCAACATATTGCAGGGCTCCTCCCCCCCCCCCCCCCCACCTATCTACCTGAACCTCTCAATCTAGGAGTGGTAGTTGACAAGAGTAAGGGACAATAAGGAACAATCACATCTAGTAACAATTGCTTACACTTTAATACTACGATAACGTTGCAACACCGAATATAAACCTTCATTACATGTTACCCAATGAAGAAAAAATATCAGATCTATAACTGAAATAAAAAGTCCTTAACTACGTGTCCCTAATTGTCTATTCTAGTCCAAGTCTACAGACATAATGTAGACATCGCCAATTACCCCCCACCCCCCCCACCCCACCCCACCCTCTTAATAACTGAGTCCCAAAACTCCAGGTATGGGGCACCCTCTGCACCGCTATGAGCGTCAGATCTAGTTGATAGACCGGCACGGGGATACCTGAGCTAAGCTGTTTGTCCTGGCTTGACTTCAGCGGTCATTCACTGGCCACTCCCCTGGGTGATATATGGGCGTCAGGTCACTTCCTTACATGTAGGGTCAGGTCACTTCCCCACGTGTAGGGTCAGTCCAGGTCAAACCCCAGGCGGTCGTAGCAAGTTTGTCTTATGAAGTAAAATGCGTCAGGTCACTTCCCCGTGTAGGGTCAGTCCAGGTCAAACCCCAGGCGGTCGTTGCAATGTCTACATATGTTAGGTAACATGCTTCTGGATGGGTGGGATGGCTGGTGTAGGTAGATATACACACATGTTCTATCTCGCCTTTATGTTTTGGTATGGAACACCCATTAGACATCATCTTTTCTCCTGCTGTGCCCAAGTCACTTGGGGCAGATGAAGTCGAGCTCATCTGTTTCAATGACCTCGGCATACATGGGTATAGTATGGTCAGCACTATGCCCACCCTATTGACTATTAAGATAAAATTACAGTTTTTGTGTAGGGGTGTTGTAGATTACAAAGTAATACTTCTCTACCGACATCCTGTATTAAATTTGATAATACAATTTGTGTGTGTGTGTGCCTCAGACATGTAAATTACAACGTCAGTTTGCCTTGCGTGCTCGCTTTAAAATTACAGTTTTCATCATCGGCTTGTGAGGACTGATACCGATTTACAATTGTAATACTTCGTTCTTACTTGTAACCTACTTTCATTCAATTAAGATGGTTTACTTATACATTGATCTAATACAAAAAGTCTAATTAAAATTTTATTTTTAAACCTGAAAATACAAATGTGTAATTAAATGGTGATTCAAGGGATTTTTTTTTCATCGGAGTGGTGGGTTGAACTTTGGGCTTTTGAGTAGAGCTGAAATAAATTTGGATTAATGAAAAAGCATTTGTCTAATTTGTTGTAAAAGTGTTCTTATTTGAATAACCGAACTTATAATTGTCTACTAAATATGTATTTAATAAAGCGTATGGGTTACTGCTTAATCTTAGTCTGTAAATAAATCTGTGATATAACTTTATAAAGAGAAGTCATACAGTCATATAAGTACCTATTTGATGTTCATGTTAAATAGAAATAATAGCTAACGATCAACTTTTATATTTTGTTTTTGAATTTCTCCTCATTTGTGATCTAATTTATAATAGCAGTTGGTAGTCTCCCTTTGTACTTTCAAACGTGTACATAGGAAGTAACTAATGTTAATTATCATTCAACGTTAACATGGGGTTTTTTTTTTTTTCGTTTTTTTTTTTTTTATATATTTTGGGTTTAAAATAGTGATTCTGTTCGGTGGTATGAATGTTTAAAAAGATATTTCTGACAAAATAGACTTAATTAGAGAAGAGCTCAATTTAAAAAAAAAACAACAATGCAACCCTTCTATGTCTGTATGAAGGTTTTGGTGGTGAACTACCCACTTGTCCACTGTATGGTGTACTTCGACCCCAACACTACAAACACGTCTTTAAAATTTCACTTGTACAGTATAAGTGTGCGCATCTTCCAACAACAATGAAGGCAGTTGGCTACAATTGACACTCGCCCGACAGTTTAACAATGAGCAATTCCGTGTTCGGTGTGTCAAAACAGAGTTATCTGACAACAAAGGCAGGCTATTATCTCCTTATGACTAGAGACATTGTGTACAGTGTTGTCATAACAATCGTAGTGTGGATTTTTTTTTAATGTATTTTTTAGGGAGAAGGGGGGGGGGGGGTAGAAAATGTTTTAGTCTTCGCTTTTGTATTTTTATAAGAAAGAGAGGTGGGAAGGAACGGAAGAACTTTTTTGAACTTTGACATTATGACCCCGGAAGACTGTCAAGTATGTGCAAACATCGGCGTTCAGACGACAACAGTGGGGCGGTTTGTGCTGTGTGTGTGTGTATCTTGTCGTCAGGCTTTAGCAGACGTCAAATCGTTTTTTGTAAGCTAATGGGTAGAAAGTGCTGCGGCGCCATCCTATGCGTAGTGACGTAATTTTTTAATGTCATGGGATATGCCAGATGTCATATGACACCAACGGCACCCCCTTCGTGTCTATACCCAGAGTCACATGACACCCCCCCCCCACCCCCAACCCTGTCTCACGGTGTCGCCCCATGATATACTTACGTATCCCGGCATGCACCAACGAGTGTGTGTAACAGGTCTGTGTTTTTTCTGCTCCAGCTGATGTATGAAGAATGTACTTGTATGACGCGGTTTTAGTTTGATAACTACGATACCTCTGGTGATGCATGTGATACATGTCTATAATAAGTCAGTCCCAATATTAAATACCTGTGACAAATGCATCAGATAAATACCTCTGAAAATATCCCTAATTAGTACATCTGGCGTACGTTTACCTAATACCTGTGACTAATACCACTGCTAATACCCGTGCAACTACCTCGAGCAAATGTCCATTTAAACACCCTGACAAATACTTGCGCAAACACCCGGACAAATACCCTGCAAATACCCCTGACAAATACCTCCGACAAATACCCCTGACTAATACCCATGAGAAATACCTCTCATTAAAACTTCGGTCTCTGTCTAAATCCTTAACCTTTAAAACCGATTAAATTTCTAAAAATAGATCAGTTTTTTCCGGCTGATTTGAATATAAAAATAAATCAGATTAACTTTTAATTTAAAATGGCGATTTTTCATTTTCGTAAATAATTTAACGAAATAAAGGGGGAAAAATGCCTGCATTAAAAACAGGCATTCATTAACTTTAAACTTAGGTTAAGAAAAAAATGTTTGATTTTTCTTACAATCGTCTTCACATTTGGTTATACTTTTTAATTATTTGTTTCACCCTTATGGTTATACTTTTTAATTATTTGTTACGGAATTATGGTTATAATTTTGAATTGTTTCAGCATTATGGTTCTACTTTTGAATAGTTTCAGCATTATGGTTATACTTTTGAATTGTTTCAACATTATGGTTATACTTTTAAATTATTTGTTTCGGAATTATGGTTATACTTTTGAATTGTTTCTGTATTATGGTTATACTTTTGAATTGTTTCAGCATTATGGTTACACTTTTGAATAATTTGTTTCAGCATTAAAGTTATACTTTTGAATAGTTTCAGCATTATGATTACAATTACATTGTTGAATAATTTGTTTCAGCGTGCTGGTCAACTCACTGACCAAGGTCGGCCCTGGCCTGCAGGTGCCAGGGATCCACTCGTACCTGCCACACCTGACTGGGCACCCAGAACACCTGCGTCCAGCGGCGGCGATCGCCCGGGGCAACCAGGGAGGTGAGTAGTGACGTGTTTGTGATGGACGACTTTCTCTATCGGTTACAAAAGTAAAGATTTATCTTTAGTGAGTAGTGGCGTGTTTGTGATGGACGACTTTCTCTATCGGTTACAAAAGTAAAGATTTATCTTTAGTGAGTAGTGACGTGTTTGTGATGGACGACTTTCTCTATCGGTTACAAAAGTAAAGATTTATCTGTAGTGAGTAGTGACGTGTTTGTGATGGACGACTTTCTCTATCAGTGACAACAGTAAAGATTTATCTTTAGTGAGTAGTGGCGTGTTTGTGATGGACGACTTTCTCTATCAGTGACAACAGTAAAGATTTATCTGTAGTGAGTAGTGGCGTGTTTGTGATGGACGACTTTCTATATCAGTGACAACAGTAAAGATTTGTCTGTAGACGTAGCGATCCATTGGGCAGGTGAAGTGAGTTCATATGTTTCTTTGCGTATGCATAAAGTAAAGTTCCCTTTTCAAACCTGACGGTCTATAGGGCAACTGGAGTAGAGTTTACTTGTTTCTGTGACTTCGGCATATGAAGGATAGGGATAGTGTGGTCAGCACTATGCCCAGCCGCCTTTACTTTCCCTAACGAGAGTTAGGTACCCATAAGTTATATGAGGTTATATTTGTTGGTATTTATCATTAGTCTGAGGTAATTTTTGTTGGGATTTGTCATTACTATGAGGTAGTATTTGTTGGTATTTATCATTTGTATGAGGTAATTTTTGTTGGTATTTATTATTAGTTTGAGGCAACTTTCGTTGGTATTTGTTATTATTTATCATAGACTAAGAACTGATTAGTTGGTATCTAACAATAGTCGGTCGAATGATTTGTTGGTATTTATCATTATTCTAAGAAAAGATGGTGTTCCTCATTACTCTGAGGACTGATTTGTTGGTATTTATCATCAGTTAAACAGCCCAGCAGTCTTTACCTCAGGTACAAACTGTCTAGTTCAGCCACAGGCTGATTTGTTGGTATTTATCATCAGTTAAACAGCTCAGCAGTCTTTACCTCAGGTACAAACTGTCTAGTTCAGCCACGGACTGATTTGTTGGTATTTATCATCAGTTAAACAGCCCAGCAGTCTTTACCTCAGGTACAAACTGTCTAGTTCAGCCACAGGCTGATTTGTTGGTATTTATTATCAGTTAAACAGCCCAGCAGTCTTTACCTCAGGTACAAAATGTCTAGTTCAGCCACGGACTGATTTGTTGGTATTTATCATCAGTTAAACAGCCCAGCAGTCTTTACCTCAGGTACAAACTGTCTAGTTCAGCCACAGGCTGATTTGTTGGTATTTATTATCAGTTAAACAGCCCAGCAGTCTTTACCTCAGGTACAAAATGTCTAGTTCAGCCACAGGCTGATTTGTTGGTATTTATCATCAGTTAAACAGCTCAGCAGTCTTTACCTCAGGTACAAAATGTCTAGTTCAGCCACGGACTGATTTGTTGGTATTTATCATCAGTTAAACAGCCCAGCAGTCTTTACCTCAGGTACAAAATGTCTAGTTCAGCCACGGACTGATTTGTTGGTATTTATCATCAGTTAAACAGCCCAGCAGTCTTTACCTCAGGTACAAAATGTCTAGTTCAGCCACAGGCTGATTTGTTGGTATTTATCATCAGTTAAACAGCTCAGCAGTCTTTACCTCAGGTACAAAATGTCTAGTTCAGCCACGGACTGATTTGTTGATAGTTATCATCAGTTAAACAGCCCAGCAGTCTTTACCTCAGGTACAAAATGTCTAGTTCAGCCACGGACTGATTTGTTGGTATTTATCATCAGTTAAACAGCTCAGCAGTCTTTACCTCAGGTACAAAATGTCTAGTTCAGCCACAGGCTGATTTGTTGGTAGTTATCATCAGTTAAACAGCCCAGCAGTCTTTACCTCAGGTACAAAATGTCTAGTTCAGCCACGGACTGATTTGTTGGTAGTTATCATCAGTTAAACAGCCCAGCAGTCTTTACCTCAGGTACAAAATGTCTAGTTCAGCCACGGACTGATTTGTTGGTAGTTATCATCAGTTAAACAGCCCAGCAGTCTTTACCTCAGGTACAAAATGTCTAGTTCAGCCACGGACTGATTTGTTGGTAGTTATCATCAGTTAAACAGCCCAGCAGTCTTTACCTCAGGTACAAAATGTCTAGTTCAGCCACGGACTGATTTGTTGGTATTTATCATCAGTTAAACAGCCGCGCAGTCTTTACCTCAGGTACAAAATGTCTAGTTCAGCCACAGGCTGATTTGTTGGTATTTATTATCAGTTAAACAGCCCAGCAGTCTTTACCTCAGGTACAAAATGTCTAGTTCAGCCACGGACTGATTTGTTGGTAGTTATCATCAGTTAAACAGCCCAGCAGTCTTTACCTCAGGTACAAAATGTCTAGTTCAGCCACGGACTGATTTCGCTGGTCGCCCATCGATCCGACGGGAAAGCAACAGGGGGAAAAACTCTTTTGTTGTTGAAACTGGACTTTTTTATTCTCTCCCCTTGTCCGCCCCTAATGATTGGGTTATCTTCCATTTGGGCAAGAAATTTTTTTTTTTTAATTTTTTTTTTTTGTTGATTCGCCCATTTTATTATTTTTATTTCGCTTATTTTTTAAATCCGAATTTCAGGCTTAACTTCTTTAATTTATTATACATTAACGGGTCTAATTCGGTGTCATTTATCTTGTACGGGGATATCGTGATGGGTGGTCGGTTCGTAGCTGGTTAGAGCGGCAGTGGTAATTGATGTTTTAACCACAGCTTCCGTTTGCAACCATCTTAATTCATTAGGGGTGGTTGAATCCAAATCTGGGTTAATACTCGGGGCTTTGACGTCAGAGATGACGTCACGTGGGCGCCCTAATTGAAGGGGCCTGGAGTTAATAACTGCACACACGGCTGGGCGATGGGGTTTGTTCGAGGGCTGGGGGGATTACACAGGAGGGGGGGGGGGGTGGAGGATGTAGTTGTGTATATGTGGGGTGTGATTGTTAAATGTGGGTTGTGGTTGTCTGGTTGTTTTGGTAGTGATGGATGTTATGGTAATGGTGGGTGTGGTTGTTATGGTAGCGGTGGATGTGGTTGTTACGATAGTGGTGGATGTGGTTTTTATGGTAGTGATGGATGGGGTTGTTATGGTAGCGGTGGATGTGGTTGTTACGATAGTGGTGGATGTGGTTTTTATGGTAGTGATGGATGGGGTTGTTATGGTAGCGGTGGATGTGGTTGTTACGATAGTGGTGGATGTGGTTTTTATGGTAGTGATGGATGGGGTTGTTATGGTAGCGGTGGATGTGGTTGTTACGATAGTGGTGGATGTGGTTTTTATGGTAGTGATGGATGGGGTTGTTATGGTAGCGGTGGATGTGGTTGTTACGATAGTGGTGGATGTGGTTTTTATGGTAGTGATGGATGGGGTTGTTATGGTAGCGGTGGATGTGGTTGTTACGATAGTGGTGGATGTGGTTTTTATGGTAGTGATGGATGGGGTTGTTATGGTAGCGGTGGATGTGGTTGTTACGATAGTGGTGGATGTGGTTTTTATGGTAGTGATGGATGGGGTTGTTATGGTAGCGGTGGATGTGGTTGTTACGATAGTGGTGGATGGGGTTGTTATGGTAGTGGTGGATGTGGTTGTTATGGTAGCGGTGGATGTGGTTGTTATGGTAGCGGTGGATGTGGTTGTTATGGTAGCGGTGGATGTGGTTGTTATGGAAGCGGTGGATGTGGTTGTTATGGTAGCGGTGGATGTGGTTGTTATGGTAGCGGTGGATGTGGTTGTTACGATAGTGGTGGATGTGGTTTTTATGGTAGTGATGGATGGGGTTGTTATGGTAGCGGTGGATGTGGTTGTTACGATAGTGGTGGATGGGGTTGTTATGGTAGTGGTGGGTGTGGTTGTTATGGTAGCGGTGGATGTGGTTGTTATGGTAGCGGTGGATGTGGTTGTTATGGTAGCGGTGGATGTGGTTGTTATGGTAGCGGTGGATGTGGTTTTTATGGTAGCGGTGGATGTGGTTGTTATGGTAGCGGTGGATGTGGTTGTTATGGTAGCGGTGGATGTGGTTGTTATGGTAGCGGTGGATGTGGTTGTTATGGTAGCGGTGGATGTGGTTGTTATGGTAGTGGTGTATGGGGTTGTTATGGTAGTGGTGTATAAGGTAGTTATGGTAGTTGTGGATGTGGTTGGATGTGATTGTTATGGTAGTGGTGGATGTGGTTGTTATGGTAGTGGTGGATCGGGTTGTTGTGGTGGTGGTTGTTATGGTAGTGGTTGGATGTGGTTGTTACGATAGTGGTGGATGTGGTTTTCTTGGCATGGATGACCGTTGTGTGATGAGGTTGTTGGGTGTGGCGAGGATATGGCAGATTATTGTAACTGTGTCGTATTTTTTTACTGGTTGTTAATGTTTGGTGCTATTAGGGCATAACCACCCTTATTCGGCCAGCATCACCATCAGCCAACTTCAACATCCGCATTAAGCCAATACCAACATCCGCATTAAGCCAACATCAACATCCGCATTAAGCCAACATCAACAACCACATTAAGCCAACATCAACACCCGCATTAAGCCAACATCAACACCCGCATTAAGCCAACATCAACAACCGCATTAAGCCAACATCAACATCCGCATTAAGCCAACATCAACAACGACATTAAGCCAACATCAACAACCACATTAAGCCAACATCAACAACTACATTAAGCCAACATCAACAACCGCATTAAGCCAACATCAACAACCACATTAAGCCAACATCAACAACCGCATTAAGCCAACATCAACAACCACATTAAGCCAACATCGCCACCTATAATAGGCCAACATCCCACCCACATTATGCCAACATCAACATTCACATTATGCCAACATATCACCAACATCATTAGGCCAACATCACCACTCACATTCGGTCAACATCAACACCCACGTTAGGCCAAAACCACCCGTATTCGGCCATCTTCCCCACCTGCCCAGACCTGCCCATGTAAGACCAGACAACAACAGAAGGTGTAGCCGAGTCTGACATGGAAACTCACGACATGCACTGATCGTCTGGTGTCAGTCACCATTCCCATCTCAAACTGTACTCACGTGGAACTCATTAATTCCCACCACAGGTTTACTGGTTTCTCCTATCACGCGTTTAATGGCTGACTCACTGTTGGGAAAAGTCGTGAATTGTTACATACATTGTTAGCACCCGAATCTGGCATGCATATTCTGCATTTGTAGCATAGCGAGATGAAGCTATCTTGTTGCACAGAGTCTCAGAACATGCTAAACAACGTTATGGTTCACTAGTGGTCACCTTAAACTTGTCATTATCTAATGTAGACGTTAAACTTGTCACTATCTAATGTAGCCATTAAACTTGTCACTGTCTCATGTAGCCTTTAAACTTGTCACTATTTAATGTAGACATTCAAACTTGTCACTATCTAATGTAGACATTAAACTTGTCACTATCTAATGTAGACATTAAACTTGTCACTATCTAATGTACACATCACACTTGTCACTATCTAATGTAGACATTAAATTTGTCACTATCTTATGTAGACATTAAACTTGTCACTATCTCATGTAGACATTAAACTTGTCACTATCTCATGTAGACATTAAACTTGTCACTATCTCATGTAGACATTAAACTTGTCACTATCTCATGAAGCCTTTAAACTTGTCACTATCTAATGTAGCCATTAAACTTGTCACTGTCTCATGTAGCCTTTAAAATTGTCACTATTTAATGTAGCCATTAAACTTGTCACTGTCTCATGAAGCCTTTAAACTTGTCACTATCTAATGTAGCCATTAAACTTGATACTATCTAATGTTGCCACCATGCTGGTCATTATCGAATGTAGCTATTAAACTTGTCACTACCTAATGAAGTCAAAAAATGTGTCACTATCTAATGTCGTCAAACTTGTCACTATCTAATGTCGCCATCAAACTTGTCACTATCTAGTGTCACCATCAAACTTGTCACAATCTAATGACGTCATCCAACTTGTCGAATGTCGTCATCAGATTTTCATCAGCTAACAAGATCGTGCACAGCGTGAGCTCCCTCGCACGCACACTCCATAATTTAAGATGCGGAATCATTGTAGTGAAAGAATTTTGGATTATTTATCCACTTGCCTGTCCGTTACCTCCCCTTTCCCGCGCTGTTAGCCGCTAGTTTAATGACGTGAATTAATTATTCCCTCCCCTTGTTCACCACTGATAGCCTTCGGTTTTTTCCCCTTGTTGTCGGTATTGGTTACAGCATGTTGTTCAATGCAATGCTATCGTATGTAAAGGGAGTTAATCTACTCGGTCTATTTGTTCGTTGAGTTGTTTCCCTTTTGGTCTATTGGGGATTTTTTTTTTTTAAAGAGAAAATCAGCCTCCGGTTAAATTTGGTATTACACAAGATGCAGAATGAGGTGGGGGGGGGGGGGGGGAAGTTGTCTGTATCATACATGGTTAAAATTTCCATCAACCTCTTCTAAAGGTTTAAAATATTCCAATGCCGTTTAGAAGGGGGAGGGGTGGTGGATGATTAGTTTCTTTCTTCCTGTGTGCTGGACATTAGAATACGTCTGGTCCTTAGTACCAGAAACGTAGGTGGTAGCTGGCGATCTATACACCGCCCGGCTAGGGGCGACCATTCGTTTAATCAGGATGTAAGCTACATTCTCTCCCTTGATGTTCTTATTAAAAAAGAAATTAAAAATAGTAGCGTTATTATTTTTTTTTCAAAATACTTCCTGGTTTCAGATAGGTTATCTCCCTGTTAAAGGCTGTACTAAAAGATATTTTTAAAAAGAGTTTTGTGTATTATTCTTCCTGTTCTTTAGTATTAAAAGTGGCTCACAAGCTTTAATTTTAAACACATTTAAGAAAAGAAAGATTCCTATGCACAAAACTTCTATTGAATTCTATTAAATTTAGTATTATAATAATTAAATAAATAAGACAATACTTCATCTAAGTAAATGCGATCTAAGGTGTGCTTAAGAGCTGGGCTTATTTCCCTTTCTTTTCCCAAAAAATGTTGGGGAAATTTAAGCCTGCACCAAATCTTTTACCTATTTGTAATTTTTAAATTTTATTTCAGTTATTCTCTTTTTTAAGTACCTGTTCTATTGAAACTTTAATAGCTGCGTTGTCTTAGTACTTCTCTTGTTCTACTAAAACTTTCAAAGCTGTGTTGTCTTGTCATAGTAATTCTTTAATAGCTGCGTTGTCTTGTCATGTTGTGTGTCTCCTATTCTAACAAACTTTCAAAGCTGCGCTGTCACTTGTGTTTCAGTGAGCATTGTCATAGGTGTGCCAACCATCAAGAGAGCCAAGGCATCCTACCTCTCTCAGACCCTCAACTCACTAATCACAAGCCTCAACGAGGAGGAGGCTAAAGACTGCCTCATAGTTGTTTTTATAGCAGAGGTCAGTCAATCAATTAACATTCAGTAGGCTAATGGTTTTCTCATTAAAATTGTAATATCTTGGGTTTTTAAAAATAATCCTTGAATATAAAAAAAAAATTTAAAAATAAAATAAAGGTAACTCAATGTCCAATAGAGCAGGGGAAGTAGTTTTTTCCTAATAGCATCTGTAGTACATAATGATAAAGTGACTGGGTGGCTAGTGTAAGTCTACTTGTCAAGCTACTAGTTAAAAAATATTCTTTGTTTTATTTTTTTCTTTACTAGAATTTGTAATTAATGAAGTATTTTTTATCATCCACAAACACTCATTAGGTTTTAATTAAAATTTCTTTGCATTACCATAAATTAGGGTTGCATAACCCACATTATCATTGATTATCATACCAAAGAATTTTTTATGTGCAGTGGTTTTTTTTATAATTTAAAAACAAAATTCACGTTTAGAGTTAGATTTAAAGAATACTTTTAAACCAAATCTTTGACTAACAGCTGGATATAAAATGTTATATTTTGTATTGTCCCTACCTACAGCCGTGGGATAAGGCATTTACAGATGAAGTGACCAAACAGATCCAGTCAGAGTACGTATCTCATTGATTCATTGCTTGATTTCATATTTTTGTGGGGGCTGAGAATGTATCTCATTGATTCATTGTTTGATTTCATGTTTTTGTGGTGGCTGAGAATGTATCTCATTGATTCATTGCTTGATTTCATGTTTTTGTTAAGTCAGAGTATGTATCTCATTGATTCATTGCTTGATTCCATGTTTTTGTTTTGTCAGAGAATGTATCTCATTGATTCATTGCTTGATTCCATGTTTTTGTTTTGTCAGAGAATGTATCTCATTGATTCATTGCTTTATTTTTATGTTTTTGTTAAGTCAGATTATGTATCTCATTGATTCATTGCTTGATTTCATGTTTTTGTGGTAGCAGAGCCAGGTGTAAGCAAGGGGAGACCAATCTATCTTCCTTGTTTGGTTTCTCTGTTTTCAATTATTTACTAGTTGCCCATGATCAGTTGAAATGTTGTGGTAAATAGCTGAAAGGGTAGGGTTGTCTGATCATCAAGTTACAGAATGTCTGATTGTCTAGGTCTAGTTACAGACTGTAGGTCTAGATACAGAATGTCTGATGGGTTAGGACTAGAATACAGATTGTCTGTAGGTCTAGTTATAGAATGTCTGATTGTCTAGGTCTAGAATACAGACTGTAGATCTAGTTATTGAATGTCTGATGGTCTAGAATACAGCCTGTCTGTTGGTCTAGTTACAGCCTGTCTGTAGGTTGAATTACAGACTGTCTCTGGCTCTAGTCACAGCCTGTATTACAACCTATATTATCATTTGTTTGTCTTTGCTTGCACCACTGCTCTAAATCCTGATTGACTGTAAAGACAACAAGTGATCTAACACTAGCTTGTCTTCTCAGGTTTATGGATGCCTTGTCCTCTGGCCTGCTGGAAGTGATTGTACCCCCTGCTGGCTTCTACCCAGACTTAAACAACCTGAAAGAAACTTTTGGTGACCCAAAGGAGCGAGTCAAGTAAATTATAAAAAATATTTTATTTTATTCTGTGTTGGGTTTTTTTTTGTTTTTTTTTTGTGGAAATTTAAACTTTTATTTTGAATTTTTAAATTTTTAGTCTGAAAAGTTATCTGTATTTTTGGTATAGTTTGATCAAGGGGCAGAGTATGCAGTTGAGACCCTTAAAGAATACAATTTCATCCCTGGTTATTGTTACATTATGTCTTTTAGTGATTGTTACGTCCCTTGTATTATGTATATTATGGTGGCGTCCCTTGAATGTTCATTGTTGTTATGTGTTGTTAATGTGTAGCTGTGAGTTAGTTATCTGTAAGCAGAGCTAGAGACAAGTCAAGTCATCTATGCTGTTCTAGTCTAATAAAGTTTCCAAGTTAACTAAAGAACTATCTGTTGAAGTATTATAACAGTTATAAACTGTTCTTTACTAGATCCTCCCTGAGCTCACCCAGCTTAAATAAGTACTCAGCATAAGTTTGAAATTGCAGTTCTGCCATAGTTATAGTGTACTAAACACAACCGCAATGCTGAATCATCAGGTCTAAAAATATTGTTTACTTTAAAACTCATTGTGTCAACTCCTACAAACAAATCAATAAGTAATGAAGGAATTTTTTAGTCAAATACATTGGAACTGCGAAGAAAATAAAGCAGCATTGAAATTCAACTTACAGAAGAAGGCTGTACAATTTTTAAATATTCATGTTGTTTTGTTTTGTTTTTGTCTCTACTGTGGATTATTTGAACAAAGTTTTTGTATATTTACTTGAAATTCTATATGCTGCCTTGTCAAAGTTTGTTGTGTAAAATGAATAGGAAGAAAGAAGTATCTTGAAACTAGCGAACCCATCTAACTTTTTTTTACTTGAAGTGCTTTTGTTAAAGCATGATAAATATGTACCATGTGCAGGCTATTTTTAGTTCTTTGTTTGTACTCAGTGTCTATTATTTATTATGTAGAGGTAGAAATAAGAGGTCTTTGTAGAGTTTAGAGTGTATGTTATGAAAAGTAAAGAAATAATAGATCTTTGTATAGAGTGTATGTAATGAAAAGTAAAGAAATAATAGATCTTTGTATAGAGTGTATGTTATGAAAAAAATAATAGATCTTTGTATAGTTTATGTTATGAAAAGTAAAGGAATAAGATAGAAATTTTAGGGCTTTGCATAGTCTTTTATGTAGAGGTATAAATAAGTCTTTCTATCATTATTATCTTTTTCTTTGTGTGCCCACCCAAAACACATGAGCCAGATGAAGTAGAGTTCATCTGTTACAAAGATCTCGACATACAGGGTTATTGTGTTGTCAGGTATTCATTAGAGCTGGGTGGACTCATGGATGTCCTACTGACTCAAACCCAAGTTCTGAACTCAATTATCTTGGTTAGCAGTTGTAAGCTCCTCAATCAGACTATGATGTCTTTGTATAGATTGTTATAAACACAAAGAAACAATTAAGTCTTTATTAACTTTATATGGAGTGTTACGTAGAGGTAGCAGTTAGATGTGTTTGTTTATGTGTTCATGTTTTCTTGTTATCTGCAGGTGGAGAACAAAACAGAACCTGGACTACGCATTCCTCATGCTGTATGCCAGGCCTAAAGCCATGTACTATGTGCAGGTCAGTTCTGTGGTTTCTTCACTCTTGGACTGTCTGGGTCAGTTGCAGTGATTCTTCCAGACTTTTTTCTCCAGGGGGAGGGGGGGGGGGCGGTAGACTTTCTTCGGGGAGGCGGACACTGTTAAAAGTATATATTTTCTATATAAAATATATGTTTCGTTTAAGGGGGGGGGGGGGGTAGAATTTTCTTCCTGGAAGAAACTCTGGTCAGTTAGAGAGTCTCTGACTCTCCTATTGGAATCATTGCTGTTGAAGTCATTAGTATCATCATCTTCTGTGACTATCCATGGATCATCAACATCATCAATATCTAATCATTATCAACATCATCATCGTCTACCCTAGTAGTATCATCATTTTCTGAGACTATCCAATCAGTATCGCTGTCATCAATTATCATAATCTTTTGTGACTATCTAATCAGTATCAACGTCATCAATGTCTATCCCATTAATACCATCACCTGCGACTAATCAGTTTCAACATCATCAATGTCTATCCCATTAATATCATCATCTGTGACTATCCAATTGGTGTCAAAATCTTGCCTGTGGCTGCTCAGTGTTTATTGACATTAACTTAAGTGTATATCCCATATGTATCAACACCTGTGGCTATCATGTCTGTATCACATTTCTTTCATTAAGAACCAAACACATCACTAAAACATAGTACATCCCTTCATTGAGATGCTTTCCTCCAGATTTAAACAAAAAATGTTTTTAATGCACACTATCTAAATGCTGGAACTAAATACTACTCAGCATTGGTTGTTTTTTTTTCCATAAATACAAACAATAGGCATTATCTCCCTTGAAAGAACTCTTCTTCTGAAAAAAAAAAAGCAATTTAGGAAGAACAAATGGAAGTCCTTAGGCATTGCACAGTGGAAATCTGATAGTAAAAAAAAATCAATAGGTGTAATGAGAGATTCTAAATGTCATAAAGTGTTGTGTGGTGAGGGGAGTTAAAGAATTCAGCTGGAAATTTATGTTTAATCATTTAAGATTAAACTGAAGGACTACAAAATCATATAGCAGAAACACTGAAGGAAAATCTGAATAATTTTAAAATAAAGATTTTAAGTCAAGAATTATTCCTTTAATTCTTCTTCTTTTCTGTTTTGTGCCCAAGACACATGGGTCAGATGAAGTAGAATTAATCTGTATCAATGACCTCGGCATACAAGGGGATAATCTGGTCAGCTATATGCCCAGCCCGTTTTGTTTCCCTAACGTGAGTTAGGTACCCATCAGAGTTGGGTGGACTCAAGGACGTTCAGTTGATTTGAACCCGGATACAAACTCAAGAGTTTTGGGTTAGCAGTCTAGCGCTCTACAGTTAGGCCACGCTGCCTCCATCCTTGTAATTGTGCAGGGAAAATATTTCAATAAATTATGTGTATTCATATACAAAAATATTGAATTATTATTTAAAATAATTATTTTATTTTTATTGGCATGAAAAAAATGTTTTTTTAAGCAAAATATCCGTTTATCTAGAGAAAAATAAATTATTTCTGTATTCATCAGATCAGTTAACATTACACCACATCCTTCAATGTTGACTTAGTGTAGCAGGCCATGAAATCTATTAGCACAGACACCATTTTTACCTTGGTCGACTCTTTATGAAACCCTAGACTGCGCTAACATATTTGATCGTGCCTGAATCATTGTTTTTAATTCTGCGCTTACATATTTGATCGTGCCTGAATCATTGTTTTTAATTTCCTGTGCCTGAATCATTGTTTTTAATTTCCTGTATTCAGATGGAAGACGATGTTGTTGCCAAGCCGGGCTACCTCAATATTATGAAAACTTTTGCCTTGCAGCAGAAGGAAGAGTGGATTATGCTTGAGTTCTCTGCCCTTGGTTTTATAGGTATTCATAATCTTGGGAATTTTTTTCAATTTAAAAAAATATTCCTGTCAACCTGATATTATTAAATTAAGGATTCTCACATCTTTTTTTTATTCATTGTTTAAATTTTTTTCATAAATGAAACATTGTTGTACACAGCTATATGTACTGCGTAAAAGGCGTTATAATATTAACCTTTATAACATACATTATAATATTTACCTTTGTAACAGACATTATAATATTTACCTTTGTTACAGACAATATAATATTTACCTTTGTAACAGACATTATAATATTTACCTTTGTAACAGACATTATAATATTTATCTTTGTAACAGACATTATAATGTTTATCTTTGTAACAGACATTATAATATTTATCTTTGCAACAGACATTATAATATTTATCTTTGCAACAGACATTATAATATTTACCTTTGTAACAGACATTATAATATTTATCTTTGTAACAGACATTATAATATTTACCTTTGTAACATACATTATAATATTTACCTTTGTAACAGACATTATAATATTTATCTTTGTAACAGACATTATAATATTTATCTTTGTAACAGACATTATAATATTTACCTTTGTAACAGACATAATATTTACTTTTGTAACAGACATAATATTTACCATTGTAACAGACATTATAATATTTACCTTTGTAACAGATGTAATATTTACCTTTGTAACAGACATTATAATATTTACCTTTGTAAAATTTACCTTTGTAACAGACATAATATTTACTTTTGTAACAGACATAATATTTACCATTGTAACAGATGTAATATTTACCTTTGTAACAGATATAATATTTACCTTTGTAACAGACATTATAAAATTTACCTTTGTAACAGACATTATAATATTTACCTTTGTAACAGACATTATAATATTTACCTTTGTAACAGACATTATAATATTTACCTTTGTAACAGACATTATAATGTTTACCTTTGTAACAGATATAATATTTACCTTTGTAACAGACATTATAATATTTACCTTTGTAAAATTTACCTTTGTAACAGATATAATATTTACCTTTGTAACAGATATAATATTTACCTTTGTAACAGATATCATATTTACCTTTGTAATATTTACCTTTGTAACTGATATAATATTTACCTTTGTAACAGACATTATAATATTTACCTTTGTAACAGACATTATAATATTTACCTTTGTAACAGACATTATAATATTTACCTTTGTAACAGACATTATAATATTTACCTTTGTAACAGATATAATGTTTACCTTTGTAACAGATATCATATTTACCTTTGTAATATTTACCTTTGTAACAGATATAATATTTACCTTTGTAACAGACATTATAATATTCACCTTTGTAACAGACATTATAATATTTACCTTTGTAACAGATATAATATTTACCTTTGTAACAGATATAATATTTACCATTGTAACAGACATTATAATATTTACCTTTGTAACAGATATAATATTTACCTTTGTAACAGACATTATAATATTTACCTTTGTAACATATTTACCTTTGTTGTTGTTGATCAGGTAAAATGTTCAAGTCATCAGACATTCCAACCATAGTGGAGTTTTTCCTGATGTTCCATGCTGACAAGCCAATAGACTGGCTCCTGGACCACTATCTGTGGGTCAAGGTCTGCAACCCTGAACAAGATGTGGTAAGGATTTGATGTTTATCTCCCTTTAGTGTTGGTTGCATTGATATTGTCTAGGCATGGTTTATATTGTGTTTTATTATGATATATGCTACTAGGGTCTGAAATGGACTGTTCCAAAATTAAGGGTGTTTGGTTGTTAGTATTATAATTTCAGTTTAGATAGAAAAGAGGTTAGATTTCACATCAGTCTTCTTCTTCTTCGTTCTTAATTGTAATATTGGAATGGATTTCTTCCAACACAGTTAAGCATTAAGAGTCAAAATGTTACACGCTATAAGGCCCGTTGACTTGACTTCAGCCTGCTTTTTTTCTTCTGGATTTGCTCCCATAGCCACAAAAAAACAATTTATTAGACAACAGGTTTTGATTGTAGAGTTTTCTCCCCTAGATATGTTACTGTCCCCTGCTAACGAGCTTCATCTGCCCGGGTTGAAATCAGTAATTATGTATAAATATTAATGAGCTACTACTAGCAACATAACACCCCTTTGTAATTTTTTTAAATTTCAATTGTGACACTAACAGACTATAGTATGAAAAATAACTTACTATTTCAAATGAATAGTTGAACTAAAAAAAAATTTTTAAAAACCAAAACACTTAGTTAATTTCCATAATTTTAAGATGAATTTCCTTCAAACCCAATGACTCAGCAACCTGTAAAATTCTACTACTGTCATAGAATGTTGTTGTAGTTAGTGTGAATTACCAACTGCCTAAAATTATGTTCTCAACCTTTTTTGTTTTAAACCCCTACATTACAGAAAAAAATGTATATAATTATGTGTGTGTGTATTTATATATATATATATATATATATATATATATATATATATATATATATATATATATATATATATATATATATATATATATATATATATATATATATATAATATAAAATATTTAAAATATTTACGTATGTATATTTACACACACACTACTGAAAAAAATATTTTTCTGTATTTAATTCATTTAAAACCATCACTTTTGTTTTAAAACTTTATACTTAATTACTTTCCATTTTTTTGTTAACTTTTTGCAAGCCCTTGTGTAGAATTTAATATTTCTTTGTTTGTGCTGGACTGTTACTAGAACGGTTCCGGACCACCTGATTTATTCTGGATAGTGCCGGTAACTATTGCCACCAGTTTGCTACATGTTTCTCCCATTTTATTCATTCAAATTTTGGGTAGTTGCTGTGTTTTGTTCCATTCAGAGTCAGTTTTTTTTTCTCTATTATCATATTTCAATGATATTTTTGCTTTTTTTTAACTATACCATGGTTATGCTTGATTTTTTTTTTAAATAATCAGACAGTATTCTCGTTAAACATTAATGGTTACCTTTTGGCTATGTTGTCCTTTATCTGTAATATTGTAGAGCATCATACTGATACCATGAGTTTATTAATGCAATATAACTATGCATACAGTGTGATACAGCTATGTATGCAAAATTGTATATACTCTGATATATTGATATATGCAATGGCCAATCTGTAACCTTTATGTAGAGGATTAAAGTGTGAATGTACACCTGTGTGAGTAGGTGTGTGAGTGTTTATAAAAAGGTGTGTGAGTATATATAGATATACTCCGTGATATAATAAAATAACATCTAAAATATTCCAAAATAGATTTTTTTTTAAAAAGCCTTAAAATATTTTTGAAATTCCTTCTTCAAAAAAAAATGATTGCAGCACAATTTGATTACTTAACATAGTGCTCAACTTTATTTTTTTAAATAAATAATAAAAGGATAAACAGTTTACAAAAACAAACCCGCATGCATTCCAATATCTCTATTTTACACTCCTAGTACCAAGCACATCCACTCTTCTGCCCCCACCCCCCACACCTCCTCTACCTTTTTGAAACAGTTTGAGGCCAGGTATTCATGAAGTGTTTGAAAATTTTTGTGTTTGTTTTTTAAAATAATGTTATATAAAACAAAAATTATCTTGTGTTTGTATTTGAAATTTTTAAAAATAAGTATGTTTTTATTAAAAAAGTAAGTTTTTTTTTAAAACAAATAATCTTATTTTAGAGTGACAAAACATTCGTTTGTTTATATAATTTGGAATATGACAATAATTTTTTTGTTATCTGTTTAAATTTAAACAAGACAAGTAGTTGTTTTAAATCTTGTGTTTGATACATTAAAGGTTGAGAACCACTGATTTGTGTCAGTGTATAATTTAGGCAATGTCATCTCTTGCCCCCATACCATCTAGATTATGCTGACACTGATTTGTGTCAGTGTATAACTTAGTATAACCAGAGTATGCATTTTTTCACGAACGCATTTACCCCTACCCTTCTTATCACAGTACAGATTAGCTTCATGCTTATATATGCTATACATTCTAAAAATGTTAAACAGTTCTATGCTTTGGGCAGTGGTCACATGAACATAGCTGTGTTGTAGTTAGTGCTCAGGTTGCTCATACAGCTATACACAGCTGAACGCAGCCATGTACATAGCTGTTTGTTAGATACCGATCACTGCATTCAATAGAGCCATAAAAAGCTGTTTTACAGCTATATTATATATATATATATATATATATATATAAATATATATATATATATATATATATATATATATATATATATATATATAGTGTGTGTGTGTGTGTATGTATATGTAAACATACATACTTACATACATATATACATATATACTTACATACATTAATATATATGATCCTGTTTGCAAACTAACTCATAAAATGCCTGAAAATATTACAATAATTTAGCTAATGATTGTTGATAAATAACAATAATATAATATACAATATTAAATGTAAACTAATTTTTTTTATTTAATATATTTTAAACTTATTTTTAAATATATATTTTCAGCAATGAGTTACTTATTAAATTTATAATAAAACAACCTCAAGCTATATACATTTAGAATAATTATTGTTGAATAAAATCTATGATAATTAACATTGATATTGTTGAATAAAATCTATGATAATTAACACTGAAATTTTTTTTTCCTCCTTAACAACAGAAACATTGCCAGCGCATGATACAGTCTGTGAGGAGGCGCTTCAAACCTTCTTTGTTCCAGCATATAGGGGTGGAGTCATCTCTGAAGGGGAAGGTGCAGAAACTAAAGGTAGGTCTGGCACTGGATTATCTTTTAATAGTCAAATTTATAAATTTTTCATGAGAATTTTCATTTATTGATTTTTAAACATTAGCTATTTTTTGGAGCAAAAGTAGATTTTTAACTAAATTTAAAATAACTATAAGTTGTATTTCAGTTAATGATAGGCAATAGTTTAGACATGAAAAGTTTCTAAATGACTCGTATAAAGGTTTAACTAAATAACTGGCTTGAATATGAGGGTTTAACTAAATAACTGGCTTGAATATGAAGGTTTAACTAAATAACTGGCTTGAATATGAAGGTTTAACAAAATAACTGGCTTGATAATGAAGGTTTAACTAAATAACTGGCTTGAATATACAGGTTTGACTAAATGACTGACTTGAATATGGAGGTTTGACTAAATGACTGACTTGAATATGAAGGTTTAACTAAATAACTGGCTTGAATATGAAGGTTTAACTAAATAACTGGCTTGAATATGAAGGTTTAACTAAATAACTGGCTTCAATATACAGGTTTGACTAAATGACTGACTTGAATATACAGGTTTGTCTAAATGACTGACTTGAATATAAAGGTTTGACTAAATGATTGACTTGAATATAAAAGTTTGACTAAATGACGGACTTGAATATGAAGGCTTGACTAAATGAGTGGCTTGAATATTAAGGTTTGACTATATGACTGGTATGAAGGTTTGACTAAATGACTCACTTGAATATGAAGATTTGACTAAATGATTTACTAGAATATCTCTTAATGACTGACTTGAATATGAAGGTTTGACTAAATGACTAGACTAACAGACTTACCAACAACACTTTAACTTTATCTACTTGCAAGATCATGTGACTAATAAACTAACTCCACTTTAATGTTATCTAATTGCAGGATCATGTGACTGACGGACTTACTAATTCCACTTTAATGTTATGTTCTTGCAGGATCATGTGACTGACGTACTAAAAGACAAACTAACTCCACTTTAATGTTATCTACTTGCAGGATCATGTGACTGACGGACTTATTAACTCCACTTTAATGTTATGTTCTTGCAGGATCATGTGACTGACGTACTAAAAGACAAACTAACTCCACTTTAATGTTATCTACTTGCAGGATCATGTGACTGACAGACTTACTAACTCCACTTTAATGTTGTTTACTTTCAGGATCGTGACTTTGGCAAAGCTGGTCTTTACAGAGCCCACGTGAACCCTGCAGTACAGCTGGCCTCTTCCCTCAAGACCTACCAGAAGTACGCACTCAGCAAAGCCTACATTGGCGAAACTTTCTTCTGGGCCTCCAACCCATCCAAGGGGGATATCATAGATTTTAAATATGACCCGCCCATCCATATAGAAATGTAAGTATGACCCACCCATCCATATAGAAATGTAAGTATGATCCACCCATCCATATAGAAATGTAAGTATGTTTGCGACTGTTGTAGAATTAAAATAAAATCTACCCATCCATATAGAAATGTAAGTATGATCCACCCATCCATATAGAAATGTAAGTATGTTTGCGACTGTTGTAGAATTAAAATAAAATCTACCCATCCATATAGAAATGTAAGTATGCTGGTGGCTGTTGTAAAAATAGAATCCACCAATCCAAGGGGGATATCATAGATTTTAAATATGACCCGCCCATCCATATAGAAATGTAAGTATGATCCACCCGTCCATATAGAAATGTAAGTATGTTTGCGACTGTTGTAGAATTAAAATAAAATCTACCCATCCATATAGAAATGTAAGTATGCTGGTGGCTGTTGTAAAAATAGAATCCACCAATCCAAGGGGGATATCATATATTTTAAATATGACCCGCCCATCCATATAGAAATGTAAGTATGATCCGCCCGTCCATATAGAAATGTAAGTATGTTTGTGGCTGTTGTAGAATTAAAATAAAATCCAACCATCCATATGGAAGTGTTAGCATTAGTGTGGCTGTTGCATAGATTATAATTAAAACCTGCCCATTCACTTATTAATGTAAGTATGCTTACCCGAATGGTTGCCATAGAATTTAGAGAGCTGTAATTTCTTCTTAAGGCTGTTAATTAATAAGAACTATAATTTAAAACCACTTAATTTTTATTCTAATCCTATTCAAACTCAAGATTCTCTCGACTTTTTTTTTTCAAGAAAAAAAAAATATTTTAAATGTTAAGCAATGATGTGTTGCAAGGGCTTTGTTCCATATAAATATCATGCTTTATTTCAGATACTTGTTCCTTTAAAAACTTATGGATTTGTCAAAAGAACTTTTACCTTAAAAAAAAATGTGTATTTATTACAGGACAGAACGTGTTCCTTAAAAAAAAAATTTTAGGTTTTGTTGCAGGAACTTATTCCTTAAAAAAAACTTTGGATTTGTTGCAGGTACTTGTTCCGCAGTGGCAACTTAGACCACCCTGGGGATGTGTTCCACAACACAACCATTGAGGTCCTCACCCCCTCCACCATCAGCGAATCTGTCAAACAAAGCATTATCTCCAGGGCAGGCCTGAGTAGGGTGGAGATTGAGAACGCCTCTGAGGGGTTTATCCCCATTGGTCGATTCAACGACAACGGCTTAGCCCAGGGGGAGGTGCCAGAGGAGATAGCACTGGTGGACACACTCAGGATACACGTGCATCAGCAGTCAGATGCCTGGGTCATTTTAAGCGAGGTCAGTTCTGGTTGTCTGCTGGGGTTGGCTACTTGTTGGGGTTGGTTTTATGATGGTTGGTTAAAACTTTAGAGCCAAGTGGTCCTAGTAGAGTTCACCTATTTCAGTGAACACAGCAGATGAAAGGATAGTGTGGGAAGTGCTATGCCCGGCTGCCTTTACTTTCCCTAACGTGAGTCGGGTACTCATCAGAGCAGGGTGGACTCCAGTGTTTCTTCCAGACTATTTTCGGGGGGGTGGGGGGTCAACATTTTTCGGGGGGGGGGGGGACACACTAGTAAAAGTGTATGTGTACTATACTATCTCTATCGGGGGGGGGGGGGGCTCTCATAGCCCCGCCCGCCTCCCTTTCCCCCCCCCCCCCCCCCCCTCTCCGAAGTGATGCTTGGAAGAAACTCTGGTGGACTCAGGGACAACTTTTGGACTTGAACCCAAGATCCAGACATGACTTTAGGGTTAGCACTAGCTGTCATGCTTGCCGCCAACTGACCACACTGTTCCATAAAGTTTTGGTGTCGGGAGTTGGTTTATTAAGGGAGGGGGTTTGTAGTACTAAGTTAATCTTTGATGGTCTGCAGGTGTTTAGTTTAATAGGGTGCTCTTGATATGCAACAAGGTACTCTAATAGGACCTTGTTTACTGACGCTGGTCCAAACCTTACTTATTTAAAAAACCAATAACAAACTTACCCAATCTTTTTCTATTCAGATAATGATTCAAGAAGGCAAAAGGTAGCAAAACAGCATTCAACATTTCTTATGGACCTAACAAACCAGAGGGCTTTGGTGCAATTTTTTTTTTTGCAAACATGACTGCCTGCATTTAAAAAAAAAAAAGCTTTCTAAATGGACAAAATAATACCTCAAGAACCTAGTATGAGTCACTTGTATAGGCAACACCCCCCCCCCCCCTCCCTTCTCACACTCTGACTGCAGTGATTGATTACATGTTAGTAGCCAGTGCATATGATTTGCTGGGCTTCAGTCAACAGGTGTGGACTAGTTGGGGTTAGATGATATGTGTACAACGTGGGGGTCAGACAAGAAATGTGTACGGCATGTGGCAGTAAGGCAAGAAATGTGTAAAAGTAGGGTCAGACAAGAGATGTGTATATGTGGGGGTCAGACAAGAAATGTGTACAACATGTGGGATGTGTACAAGTAAGGTCAGACAAGAAATGTGTACAACATGTGGGATGTGTACATCATGGAGTCAGACAAGAGATGTGTACATCTAGGGGTCAGACAAGAAATGTGTACATGTGAGATGTGTACATCATGGAGTCAGACAAGAGATGTGTAAATGTGGGGTCAGATGAGAATTGTGTACAAGCAGGGGTCAGACAAGAGATGTGTACAACATGTGGGGGTCAGACAAGAAATGTGTACAACATGGGGTCAGACAAGAGATATGTACATGTGGGGGTCAGATGAGAATTGTGTACAAGTAGGGTCAGACAAGAAATGTGTACAACATGTGGGGGTCAAACAAGAGATGTGTACATGTGGGGGTCAGACAAGAAATGTGTACAACATGGGGTCAGACAAGAGATATGTACATGTGGGGGTCAGATGAGAAATGTGTACAAGTAGGGGTCAGACAAGAGATGTGTACAACATGTGGGGGTCAGATGAGATGTGTAAAACATGTGGGGGTCAGACAAGAGATGTGTACAACATGGGGTCAGACAAGAAATGTACAAGTGGGGATCAGACGAGATGTGTACTAAATGTGGGGGTCAAATATAGGGATGTGTACTCCATTGGAAATCCATAACAGCAGATTTTTAAATTTACCGTTACTATAGACCTTAAACCTAATTCATTATATTACAATGTTCACCCATTGTCTGATGTGTTGGTTAAAATTTTTAGAAATGTTCAACTTTTTGGAAAATCTGAATAATTTTTTTTTTTTAAACCAGTTAAAAAGAAACAACTATGTATCAACTCTTATCATTCAACATTAATTTCATCTCTCATTTTATTGCCTTATAATGAAAACTTTAATGACTATTTGATGTACCTGCATTAGCTTGAAGCTATAAAACTCACCTCGCCAGGTAAAGTGCCATGGTAATGTACAGTGGGTTTCCTTATCACAATGCAGATTGTTTTTTTTCATTGTAAAGTGGGTTGCCCTGAACAACGCCATTCTATCATTTGTAAATATCACATTGGGTTGGATATGATGGTGTTCATCTAAAGAGATGTTTTTAAGATATTGTTTTAGAACAAAGATTTTTTTTTATGTATATTTTTCTGCTTTACCCAACTCTTATGATGTATTATTAGGTGAAAAAAAAAAAAGTTTGGCTTGTGTAGACAACCTGGCCATTTTACACTGCCTGGCCATTACACAAAATCTGGTCACTTTTGGTTTTGTTTGTTTGAAAGTAATACAATTTATTGATTTTTGAAAGTAATACAATTTATTGATTTTTCTTTCAGCCTGTTTTAATGTATACAATTGTTAGACATCGTTTGACTTAAAACAAATGTTTTATTATGATAGATTTTTAAATAAAATCGTTTTTTATGTGTAGCATTGTATAAGGTGGCAGTGTGTATGATGTGATAGCGTTGATATGTACGTACAAGGGTGTAGTGGGTAATAATTGATATTGATTATTGTATTAGAAGTTTATAGTGTTGAAATATACAAACATGTTGTAGACAGTGTATGAGGCTATAGTCTTGATATAGACACGTACGAGAGTGTACTAAGGTTATAGCATTGATATACACGGTACGAGGGTGTACTCATGTTATAGCCTTGATATACATGTACAAAAGTGTGTACTAGTAAAACAAAATGTGAAATGGCAGCAGACCTAATTAAAGTGTACAAGTAGTCTTCTGTCGTTTGAAATGTGCTCTACCAAATTTATGATGACCGTAAATTAAACATTGTCACACAGTACTCACACAAACTGTAGCATTTAAACCTGTTTGTACATCCAATTTATAATGTGGCTTGCTGCACCTGAAATTTGTGTTGAGTGAACATTAATAAGTTTGAGTATAATGCATGGTGTGTTTTTTTTTTGTTTAGCTGAAGTGGATGGTCAGATAGAAACGTTGCACGAATTTGTTAAAATAAATTGTTAATTGACTTGCTTTAGTGTTCAGAGTAACTCCTTGCCTCACTGGGTGATGGACATTAAAAAATGTTTTAAATATTTTTAGTTGATTTACATATTTTAGTTTAATATTTTCCTAGACTAAACAATGAATAAGTTTATTTTAACCTTATTTAATTATATTTTTTTTATTTATATAATTGAGTTTAATATTTATCAATACACAATTTCTTTGGCTGTAGATTTTAGAAGTAGAATTGTTTAACAATGAAAAAGAAATGTTATGTGTTGATATTAAATTGTAGTTCTTGTGTAAACTCCTCCTCTTCCCATCCCCCATAATTTTGTTTGTAGATACATGTGTGGGTTTGCTCCCCTGTATTACAGAAAAACTAGAAGAGTTTCAGGAAGTAGAGTAGCTAGATTAGAATTTACATAGAGGGTTTCTGAGCTCTTCAAAATATAACACCAGGTATAACTGGGTATCTTTAATAAGAGCTCTTCACAAGAAATATTTTTTTCTACTTTTTTTTTCTAAAAGTCTGTTTACTTTTTGTGATACCTCCAGTTTTTATACTGTCAAGCTTTACAAATCTGATTTTCTGACGATGATGTAGAACAAACCTCCTTGTTGTACAAGACCAATAAAGCTTATTGCCCAGTATTATTTATGTGGCTGTTATTAATTAAACATTGATGACTCTTAAACACACTAATTGTGTATACCCCTGTTGACACTAATTAGTAATAGTCTAATTTAATACGGATAAAAACTAAAGCTATTTTATATTTTCTAACAGTCACGTATATCAATGGCTACCTAGCCATAACTCTAATCCTAACTTTAACCTTTGTGGCAGAGCCACAACATCAGTCATGGTTTAAACACAAATTTAAATCTTTACAAACTTTTCATGTACTGCAGTAAAAAATATTCTCTTCTTTTGTTTTTAAATTTGTGTGTTGTTTTAATTTTTAATTGTAACTATAATATAATTTATTAATACTGTCTATAATGGCACGTCTTCTTTTTGTTTTATCACCAAAATGTCTTGTATTCTTAGTTGCCCCTTTTAATCCTTCCTCCAAAGATTTCTATAAAGGCTCTATATGCCTGAGACTTCTCATTTGTTAAATTAGCTGTACATTTTGCATTATGTTTGACGAAATAGTATATTTTAATTATAGATTGGTTTAAAATTTCATGGAATTGAGGTTGAGGAATTTTAAAATTTGCAAAGACTTTTTTTATTTGTAAAATACCCATGCTTTGTTTGATTAGCCTTTTTGATTTTTTTTTTTTATATTCAAGATTGAGTCCAATGTATTTTCTTGATAATTGTCTTAATTTTGTAGTAAGGGAGGTAACCTAAATTTTTTTTTTTAAATTGTATTGTTTAAAATAATGCTCTTTGTTAATTACTAAACTGATATGAGAAAAAAAATAACTTTAAAATGTAAGTTAACTCATTTTAATGTTGATATAATAATAATTACAAATAAATTTGTTTTTCACCCATCATATTGTTTGTTTTTGTATTTTAAGAATCTCCAAGTTTAAAGCTTAACATGGGGCTTGCTCTAACTAAAAAAAATATGCAGATATTTTCTATTAGAAAAAAGATGGTGTGTTCATGAATAAGTGTCTATTGAATAAAATTTTACTGCGAGTCGGCAAAGTATTTTTAAAGCAGTGAAATCAGTTGCCCCATTTGACAACTAAGAAGAATCAGGTTGAGAAAAATCGTCTAAATAGATAACAAAATTCATCAACATTATCCAACTGCCACTTTATCCACATTAATTAGCTCTTTTTTTCAGTGAAAAACGTATTACCCTTTTGCGTATGAATACTATGATCTTTTTGATAGTCATTGGCTAGATCATGAAAAGAACAATCTCAGACCCAAAAGGATGGAATTCAGTGGACTCTCACTAAACAGTTGGGGGACCTAGATTTTGCTGACGACATCGGCCTTCTTTCACATTGACAACAGCATGCCCAGTCCTAGCTAGGCAAGCTTTCTCAAAGAAGCCCCTAAGACAGGCTTAAAGATCACTGTAAAAAATAGGGTGAATTATCAATAAATAAGAGCTCCCACTTAAGATACAAGAAATTACTATTTCGGATGTGTATCGCATCATATATCTCAGACGTAAATTAAGGATGGGGGAGCAAATAGGGCCAACAAAAGCAGCATCAACTAGGCTAATGTATACATGCAAAATCCTCAGTACAACTTGGACGTTGAGAACACTATCTAGGTTCTCCCAAAACACAGCTGTTTAACTGTACAGTGTACAGCAATATTAAATCTCTTCTCCTCTATGGAGAATGTTGAAACTTTCATAAATGTATGCCTGCATACCTACATAGCATTTAGAACATAAGGTGACCTGAAAAAATTACCAATGCTGAATCATGAAAAAAACCTTTTGGCAAAGTTATATAGATCTAGAGTATCTAGATCTATATACAATATATAATATATAGGCCTTATTTTAGACTAGATTTCTAGATCTACTCCGCCCTAACCCCAAACATTAAAACTTGCACACACATTTAATTTATATATCTACCTTCATTTAGTATTTAGCAGCAGTGGCCATGAATTGTACGTTTTAATCAATAAAACTTTTAATTGTTTTGTTTGTAGTAGCTTACAGATGGGTGTGGATGTGTGTTGAAATAATGGGATAAAACAATCTTATATATATATAATTCTCTTCTTGGAGACCATAGAAAACACCAAGCTGTAAGCGTGCCTAGCAGCACCCTCTCTTCATCTCTAGGCATATTGCTACCACCCCCACATGGTCGGGTGAGCTGTGGTTCACGCTAAATGTTTACAATCGTAGAGCCGGGTTTAGTGACGGCTATTAGGGGCAGATAATTTAGTTTGAAACGATTTTAAAGTTAGGGGAGGTAACTAAGAGGAGGCTGCTTTCACGGGGGGTGGGGTGGGGGTTGGGGGAAAGGAGGGTTTTAGTGTTTTAAAGCAAATATTTTCAGTGGCAGCATTGGTACTGTCGAATTCACAAATTGTGAATTACTGAAAAGTAAAAAATAAAACAACTAAATAGCGGCATATGATATGCCGCGGGTCGTCTCGTATATCATATATCAAGCTAAACAGCTTTATTTTAAATTTAATAGAGTGATGTCCCTTGCCTGCTTCTCGCGCGTGAGGAGTTTTTTGTAGCGGGACTTAAATAAAAGTTACTGCCCTTTTACTGGTCCAAAATAAATCATACACTTTGACGTCATGTATTGGCTGGTTGATAAAGAAATGCGCTTAATTATTGATTGGCATTTTAATAGTGTTAATTAATGTCCAACGCCGGTCAGATGTAGTATTGTTAGTAAATAAGATCGAAACGAAAACGAAAGTTTTTTTAAAGAGATCGTACATAAAAAGGGGAGAGGGGTGTCACTTTCAAACATGTTCTACTACAATCATGTTCTCGGTGTTTCTTCCAGGCATCTTTTCGGGACCGCCCCCCCCCCCCCCCCCAAAGAGAGTCTATCGCCCCCTCCCCCAGAATAAAATGGAATTTATATAGAAAATGTATACTTTTAACAGTGTTCGCCCCTCCCCTCAAAAATTTCATGTGCTTTCCCCTCCTCCCCCCCCCCCCCCCCCCCGGAGAAAAAAAGTCTGGAAGAAACACTGATGATGACGAATGCATAAGTGTGATTCTTTTAACATCCAAGATAAAGGACAGCACCAAATGCAGGAGGAAAAAAAACACTGTACGACCAGAGTTTCTTTCATGCATCTCTTCGATGGGAGCCCGAAGAAAGTCTACCGCCTCCCCCCCCCCCCCCCCCTCACCATCTAAACAAAATAAAATTTATGTAGCTAATATATACTTTTACCAGTGTCCACCCCTCCCCTCCCACTCCCCCCGAAAATGAGCGGAGAAGAGGCCGTACAAAAAATAACCATACCAGTAACGTTTTATACAGATATTAACCAGATGTGAAGCAAGAGTTGATGAGGATGATAACAATAAATGGCTGTTTAGTAAAATACCGCTGCCGACTGCCCAAATACTATGAGAGTTACACATGATAAAATAAGAGAGCCGCTCAAAATCGAGTCCTTCCCTTTGCTCCCCTGGGGCCAAAAGGAATATGTCAAGTTTATCTATTTGCCCTCTGTGCCCTTGCTTCAACTTCAAGTTTATTGTGTGGTTAAAATTTTTTTAGCGTTGTGAATAATTTTGATGTAAGCTAAAAGTAGTAAGTGTGGGGTATAGATGCACATGTACTATTTTATCGGGCGCAAGTCGAGAAGTGTCATCACCTTGTGTGTGAGGCCGGGATGTACAGCCACTGTCAAAATGTCGGAGTTTATGGATCGGCTTCCGAGATATTTATAATTCGCTTGCATGTCTCGCGAAAACTTAGTCTTGGCCGCTGAAGTAAGCCATTAAGTGATTCGTTTTCATTTGTGTATTTTCTTTTTAAATTTCTTAAATAAATGTTTTAATTTTTTGGAACTGTTTTTATAAATTTATAAGTGTGTGGGATTATTAAGTGATTTTTTCGAGAAAATGTGTTTAAAATATTTGTTGAGATGTATATCAACATAAAGTAACCCAAGATTTAAAGCTTCATTTTCTGTGTTCGTCGCAAGGATCATTGTTATTATATTTAATGTATTTAATTAACGCCGTTGGGGCGTAACGAATTATTTTGTTTTTGTATGCTAGGCAGAGGCGTACCGAGTGCGGGGTGGGGGTGCGGACCGCACCGGGTGACACCATTTAGGGGGGTGACACCAAGACAAAAAAAAATCGCAAAATGTACAGAAGAAAAATGCTTTTTGCCAGTTCCATTTATGATTAATTAAAGTTAAATAGGCCTAGTCTTTTAAGTACAAATCTACAATTATTACAACGTGCTAACTGTAGAGAGAAAAAAATCTACCTGCAACTGTATTATTAACATCAAAGATAAACTTCGTTACTATCAAGTCTGGAGTGATTAAAGTTTATACGAAGTGCCGCACCGGGTAACACCCGACCTAGCGACGCCACTGATACTAGGAATAAACCTAACCATAATCAGGATAATGTATTGCCTACAAGTGTTTTAATTATTTTTCATTTTGAAAGAATATTTCCTCTTTATTTTTGTAAATTACCATTTACAAGTATTTACTCGTACCAATCATCTAGTCACTCGTATAGGTGTGATTTGTACAATAGTATCAGAGCTTAGACGAGATGAGTCAGTGCGGTCTAGAAGTAAAGCTCACACTCAGTTGCATTATTGGTCTAGTGGTTGGTATCGTGGGTTCAGCGGTTGGCATAACGGGTGTGAGAGGTTCGTAATCCTCATCCTCCTCAGTTCCACTCGTACCCGTTTTGCCCGTGTCCATGCTGCCTGTCAGAGGCGTAGCGACTCATTCCGGCACTGGGGGGGGGGGGGAGGGGGGCGAAATATTATTTTGCTTCCACCCACTCTCCTCCCATTTATGTTGGTAAAAAAAACTCCCCCACCCATATGTGCCTGGAACGAACTATCAAATTTGCGCTCCCCTTCCCTCCCTGTATTATATAGTAATTCAAGCGGGGGGGGGGGACGCCCGCCCCCTTCAGTTGGAAAGGTTGGTGGTACTTTTTACCAGTCTCTATCCCGTAAAAATTTTTAATTGAGGTGCAACCCAGTTGATGTAAAACAGTAAAATCAGTGACTTTCTTAACTTTAACTGGGTATAATTCAATACCCCAGCTTAAAATAGCTTTCAATTTTTTCCACCCCTTTTGGCGCGTCCATAGGGTCAGAGCTAGGGGCGGTCGCCCCACCCGCCACCTTTAGCTACGCCACTGCTGCCCATACAATAGAAAGAAGGTAGCTGAAGTAAACATAAATACATAGGGACCAACACAACAACTCTCATCTTTCCAAAATTACAACAACACCACAAATAAGTTAAAACAAAATATGATGTGTACGGCTAATCGATAGAAGTATTCGTTATCTTTCTTCAGCCCGCAAGATGTTCAAGCTTGTAGTTAGTGCAGCAGCTTTGTTCACCTTTCCATACTGTGATGCAGCTCCATATATCTTTACAATTGCTGTGCCACGTAAGACTTAAGTTATTGGTATACAAAACAACATCGAATGGGAGGAGACTCTTTTCGGTGTTCCCGTTTATTAAGAGTTTTATTTCATGTTTCCATACATTGTAATATATATTGTACATACATTGTAATTAATATATATATATATATATATATATATATATATATATATATATATATATATATATATATATATATATATATATATATATATATATATATATATATATATATATAGGCATATAAATACACACACACACACACATATATATATATATATATATATATATATACTAATAGGCATATGAATACACATAAATATATACATACATATATATACACATATAGGCCTGCCTATATATATATATATATATATATATATATATATATAGGCATATAAATACACATAAATATATACATACATATATATACACATATAGGCCTATATATATATATATATACATACGTATATATATATACATGTAATATATATATATATATATGTATATATATATATATGTATATATATATATATATATATATATATATATATATATATATATATATATATATATATATATATATATATATATATATGTGTGAAGCTGCGCAGCCAATTTGCGGCGACCCATTCTTGTTGTGCGGTAGGCGCTGCGTGTGTGTCTGACAAATGTACTTGTCCTAGTCCCACAAAAGGCATCGGAAATTTCCACTGCGCTTTACCATGTAAGTCATTGCTAAGCTATTTTTAAATTGCTACAGCCAAACACATCTAGTTGAAAGGCTAACGCCACAAATAAGAATGGGAGACTTACAGTTATAAATTTAACCTTAAGATTACACATAATATGTACAGTGTTTCTTCCAGACTTTTTTCTCCGGGGAGGGGGGGGGGGGGGCACTTGATATTTTCAGGAGAGGGGGGGGGACATTTTCCGGGTTTGGGGGGCGGACACTGGTAAAAGTATATTTTCTATATAAATTCCATTTCGTCAGGAGGGGGGGGGCGGTAGACTTTCTTCGCCCCCCCCCCCCCGAAGAGATGCCTGGAAGAAACTCCAATGTACATTTTTTTGTAGGTGCGTGTTATGTGTTTTTTATTTGAATTACAGCTCAGCCATTTTGCGCCATTTTTAACGACCCGATGGTGCGAGATTTTGCGGGCGGTCACGTGTTGGTGCCACTTCCGGTGAAGTTTTTGGTTGCACACATCGCAAATCCAATTTGTGTTGAGACGACGCCGGGGACTTTCCAACAGAAGGATGGGATGTGCGAGGTCCATGTGAGTCTAACTAACACGAGGTCCATGTGAGTGATAATTTTTGAGGTCCACGTAGGTCTTAATGAGAGGTAGATGTGGATCCTAATGAGTGGTCCACGTAGAACTTAATTGGAGGTCGATTTGGGTTTTAATTTGAGATCCACCTGGTTCTTAATGAGAGACCCATGTGAGTCTTAATGAGATGTGCATGAGGGATTTTTGAGGTCCAAGTAGCTCTTAATGAGAGGTCGATTTGAGAAGTGTTTCTTCCAGACTTTTTTCTCCTGGGGCGGGGAGGGGGCACTGGATATTTTCGGGGGGGGGGGGGCGGTCTACATTTTCCGGGGGGGGGGGGCGGACACTAGTAAAAGTATTTTTTTACTATATAAATTCCATCTCGTTCGGGGGGCGGTAGACTTTCATCGGGGAGATGCCTGGAAGAAACTGGATGTAAGTCTTAATACTCTTAGTGAGAGATCGACGTGGGTTATAATTTGAGATCCAAGTAGGTCTTAATGATACGTCCAAGTGGATCCTAATTAGTGGTCCATGTAGAACTTAATTGGAGGTGCTATAGGATGTAAATGAGAGGCCCGTGTGGGAGGGGGGGGGGGTTAATGATATATGAACGTTGTGTGAAATAAATTTATCACAACGACCTACCGGTAGGTCAATTTATCACGACACGCGCTGGTGGGAGACTGTGCATCTATAAGGATGTCTCTCTCTCTCTCTCTCTCTCTCTCTCTCTCTCTCTCTCTCTATATATATATATATATATATATATATATATATATATGTGTGTGTGTGTGTGTGTGTGTGTGTGTGTTTGTGAGTCCACAAAAATTGCAAGGGGGTGGGGGCAGTGGCGTAGCGAGGTCGGGTGTCACCCGGTGCGGCACTTAATGGTGTCACCCCCCCCCCCCAGAGGCATAGAGTCCCTTCCCAGGGACAAACTTTCTAATTTTCGATTTGCACCCCCCCCCCCCTCAAACTTTCGATTTGCACCCCCCCCCCTCAAGTTTTCGATGTGCACCCCCCCCCCCTCAAACTTTCGATTTGCACCCCCCCCTCGAGTTTTTCTCTATATATTTTGCTATTTTTTTGCCTTGGTGTCACCCCCCTAAATGGTGTCACCCGGTGCGGTCCGCACCCCCCGCCCCCCCCCTCGCTACGCCCCTGGGTGGGGGTTATTCTCAAGTTCCGACACTGTCCCTAGACCACCCATACTACAGCACAGTTTTAGTGTCCTGAGCTTATGTTATTGGAAGTAAAGGAGGCTTTGATAGTGCTAACCACATTTTCCCTTCAAATGTTGAGGTAAAAAAAACCATCTAAACTCTACTTCATCTGCCCAAAAGATCGCTAGTTCTAAAGAGGAATCTTTTCAAAAATCTTTTTTTTTAAACCTCTACATCTGTTTTCACATTTTAATTATTACAATGCTATTAATTGATTAGTTAACCAATTACTGTTCTTGAAACTGAACCCACAATCCTGACAGGTGTACGCCTGGGGCGGGAGGCAACTCGGCAAGACTTTCGTCAAAGGGGTCGAGGTCAAAGTGTTTGTGTCTATAAACGCCACGACCTCGTACTTTCACTCGACACGCATCCAAGGAGAAGCTCGGAATTGGTCTTACACGGTAGGTTTAACCAGTGACGTCACATTGCAGGGGGGGGGGGGGGGCAGAGGCGTAGCGACCCTTCCCGGCGCCCGGGGACAAACTTTCGATTTGCACCCCTCCCCTCAAACATTCGATTTGCGCCCCCCCCCCCCCTCAAACTTTCAATTTGTTTTTCGAACTCTTTTTGGCGCCCCCTAAGGTCGGAGCCCGGGGACATATGCCCCCCTCGCTACGCCTCTGTGGGGGGGGTGCGGTGCGTACTGGGTGACACAATTGAGGGGGGGGGGGGGAAACCCCCATTAAAAAACCTTCATTACTTTCGAAACAATTGTCTATTCAGTTAAAATAATTAAATACTAGGGGAGGGGGTATACGAAACCGAAAATGCAAAGTTGTTGGAGAGGGGTGGGGTTATCCACCCCCCCCCCCCACCCAAGCTACCCTTACCGGATGACACCCTACCTTGCGACGCCACTGGGTTTAAGTATTTCCCCGCTGAAGTAAAATCGACATTTATAGAAAAACAAACAGCAATCAAAATACATCGACACACTCCTAGTGTAGACTTTGAATAAACACGCATGGTTATTGATGATACAGAGACTAGGCTTTCTAGGTACGTACACACAGTCAAATTATACTCAACACCCAGATAGTGGTGTTGGTGGGGGAAAAGTTCCCTTTTCATACCTGACGGTCTATAGTGCAAGTGAAGTAGAGTTCTCTTGTTTCTGTGACCTCGGTATATGAAGAGATAGTGTGGTCAGCACTATGCCCAGCCGCCTTTACTTTCCCTAACGTGAGTTAGGTACCCATCAGAGTTGGGTGGACTCTGGGACGGTCTACTGACTTGAACCCGGATTCGAACTCGAGACTTACGGGTTAGCAATCCAGCTCTCTACTGCTAGACCACTCCGTTGGTGGGGGAGGTAATCCACAAATGCCGTCATTATTTTTATCATTACGCCCCCCCCCCCCCCTCCAAATTTATAAATCAACATGCACAAAACCGAAAAACGGTGACGTCATTTATGCATAATACACCCCCCCCCCTATGATATTTCAGTTCACAGAAGAAGGAAGCTCATCTATGAACCCGTCCAGCGACTACTCCGACCGTCTCGTCACAATACTACCTGGCTATGGCGAGATTAAGACGGTGTATGACGAGAAATGGGACAACTTTGTTCAACTGGTCATCGGCACATGCGGCGTCACCGTGGGCTTCAGGTTAGAGGGGGGTGTCATCCATGCAGTGGCGTCACAAGGTGGTGCGGGTGGGGGGCGGTCCGTACCATGTGACGCCATGTAGTGGGTGACATCTATATAGTAAAATTTATTATCAAAGCAATGTTTTATTTAGCTAAAATAATATAAATAGGGGGGAAAGGGTGACACCAAACCGAAAATTCAAAATTGTTAGAAGGGGGTGTCACCACATCATGTGACATCCACTGCATCCATGTATACCAACCATATAATAATTTAAGCCCCCCCCCCCCCCCCCCCCCCCGCCCCCCTTCCCCGGTCCTAAATAGACGTTCGTAAAAATATTTTTTTAGTTATTTTTATTTCAACCAAAAAAAATATATATTCGAGCCTGTAGTATGAGCCGGCATTAATCCGGCATCTGTCTTGTACCCAGTGCCGGCGCCAGGTTATTTAGCGCCCTAGGCAAAACTTATTAAAACGCCCCCTTTTACACAAATTAATTACTTAAACATATGCATAAGAAAACAATTAATTAAAAGCTACCTATTAATTTATTATTAATTGCATACACGTTATACTTACGTACTTAATCCTCATCACTCCCTGTGGAGTATAGGGCAACAACAAATCTCCGCCATTCCACCCTGTCCTGGGCGAGCCACTTTAGTTCATGCCAGGTCTTGCCAGTAGCCTGTACTTCTTCTTCCATCTCTCTCCTCCATGTTCCCAGTGGTCTTCCTCTCTTTCTCTTTCCGGGTGGGTTCCACTTCAGCGCCTTGTTGGGGAGTCTTTTTTTGCTCATGCGTAGGACACGGCCCAGCCATCTCCATCTCCTCATTCGAACTTCTGAAACAATGTCGTTTAATCCTGTCTTTCGCCATATTTCCTTGTTCGGGACTTTGTCGTCCCACTTTATTCTGAGAATACGTTGGAGGGATCTTCTTTCGAAGCCTCCGAGTCGACTCTCTCCTTTCTTGTTTAGTTTCCATGACTCTGCAGCATAGAGGAGTACAGAACGTACATTAGACTTGTAGATCCTTATTTTGGTTCTCTGCTGCAGTGAAGATGATTTCCAGATCTTAGCGAGTCTGTTGAAAGCTTGTGCTGCCATTGCTATTCTGGTGGCCATTTCTTTCTCCATGCTGCCATTTGCTGATATATAGCTGCCGAGGTACTTAAAGTCTTCGACCTCTTCTAGCTCTGCTCCATTCACAAAGGTCTTGAGAGCACTTTTATACACGTTATAAGCAGATATCAAAATCAAATTTTACTTGCCTCCTTCGTCTCAAAAGCTTGTACTCATTCCTTCAATTCCAGTTTGCAAGCGTAATCACTTTTTATTGAAATTGTTGCTAAATCCACGAGTCTACTTTGTACTTTACGACATAGCCTCCTTCCATCTCCCCCCTCCCTTTAGAAAGTTTCAAGTGCTTCCCTAGCCCCCCCCCCCCTCTCCCTCCCGGGAGAAAAAAGTCTGGAAAAAGAATACGGAAAAAATACACAGCTCTTGTAGTGTTGGGCTCTCTGCAGACCTCCCATGGTGAGTTCCAGAACGAAACTTACCTGCTTAAGGCTTGATTCTCTTTAGTTATAATTGTAAAATGTCTATATTGTGTGATTATGTAACGATTTTTTTTTGAAAAATAAAAGGTTATAAATGTTATAGATTCCAGCCTACCATTGCTATATATGAATCCTTTAGGAGAGGGTGAAAAATATGAAAAAGACACTTTAATTAGATGATAAATTTGCGTCTAAGACGTTTTTAGACGCATTTGCGGCACTTTCTCATAATGTATGTCTACTAACATTAAATATTGCAATTTAAAAAGGCTACTGATGTATTAGTTTTTCAACGTGATAATGCTTTAAAAAACCTACCAAACTATTTTGTTTAGAACTTTACTATAGTAAATAATAACTTAAAGTTGTATTTATAAGTAAGCGGTCAACCTAAGGTGCAGGAATTTGAAATGAATTCAAAGTGAAGAAACGAATCAGCTCCCATTTGGAAATACAAATACAAAAATCTTAATCAAGGGAAATAACTTTCACAAGAATAGCTACATTAACTATGTGTAACTAAAACATGCTTGAAAAATACAATAGAACGCTCGAAATTTCGTTATATAATAATTATAAGAAATCTTTTATATAAGCTATGTATACTTGTCAAAGAAATATATTTTACTCATTGACTACTTAACTTAAAGTTTTGTTTGAAAGTCGAAACATGGTAGCTTTATTATAACATACTTCTCGTCAATTTTGATGACACATTTATTTGTTGGTGTTAATTTAAGGTGGTAATAGAAATTTTGGATCCCCTAAAAAGAGGGACGCATTTTAAAAAAATTCAATTACGGCTAACTTTTAAGTTACTGCTATAATTATTGATTAAATATTTAAAAAATATGTAATTTGAAAAAAAAGTTTAAGGTTAGTTATAAATTCCAGCCTAGATAATATTATATATTAATTATTATAACGTTAAGAGTGGTAATATAGATTCCTATTAAAAAAAACTAGATTTTTCAGCTAGAGAACGCCTACCTTTCTTTGTAGTGTGTTCCGTCCTGAATTGAAATCATCTAACTTACGATAAACTCGGCTACTCGATATACTCTACTTCATTCACGACACATATCAACCTTCGATACCTAAACATAACTAGACTCGATGCTCCAGAACTACGGCACCAACTCGCTTAACTTCACCAAGCTCTACAAACGATACTCCAAATCAACAACGATTTCACTGGACCTACTACTACACGTTAACATTTAACACACTCGATGCCTTAATACCACAGGACTCGATACTCCCGAACCCCAGAACGACGATACTTCAACACCTACATTCTCATTTCTCTACTACCAATCAGATTCCACTAGGCCTACAACTAAACGACAACAGCCAAATAAAAAATACGACACTTAAACACTTCAAGAACCGATATTTCATACCTACGGAACCATATCAGCAACAGCCAGTGGCGTAGCCTGGAATTGGTCATGGGAGGGGTTCAAACATTTTTCCATATTTATACAATCATATATATATATATATATATATATATATATATATATATATATATATATATATATATATATATATATATATATATATATATATATATATATATATATATATATATATATATATATATAGGGGTCAATGGGAGGGGTTATAACCCCCCCCTAACCCCCCCCCCCCCCTTGCCTACGCCACTGGCAACAGCCTTCCACCGTTACTCCCAAATCTGAACGATCCATCAAAACTTACCAAACAAGTACAATACTTTGAACACCCCGTCATTACAAAACTCTATACACCAGAATAGATTTCTAATTCAAAGTCAGAGAAAACGAGAATTACAAGCCCTATTAAAAACCAAAATTGCACGTGTTTTGGAACGTCCCGTCATGCGCTGGAGCGATCACTAAATTAACATTAAAATAACATACCTTTTTGAATAGTTCGAAATTTAAAATACGAACTTATTTAATCGTTTTCTACTTCAATTATGTAACACCAAAATAAAAAAGCAAAGTGACTGGTCAAAAGCGCCCCGACCTTTCCAAATTAAAAAGGTGGGGAACAAAGATGTGCCTATATAGACCTACTTTGGGGGTGGGGGAGCAAAATTGATAGTTCGTCCAGGGCGCCGAAATTGATCGCTACTCCTTTCTATATTACCATCTATAATTTATAAAAGATAATCAAAGTTATTAATTATTAGGTACTTTTTTTTTATTATAGCGATTAAACCTTTTTGCGCCCCCCTAGGGATGGCGCCATAGACGACTGCCTAGTTCGCCTAATAGGTAGCGCCGGCCCTGCTTTGTACCCTTTTCTCACTCTTCAACTTCAAGTAAATAACATTTTTTTTTCCTCAGACCTGTAGAGCTAGACAACGACCCCTTGCTCTACCCAGCGGGAATGTACGTGTCCGTTGTTGATGACTGTGGTAAGCCACACAAAAAAAAACATATCATTTGGTGGAACTAAACTGGATGGTGCCTTCTAAATCTAAATCATCCCTTAACCTTCGTATGGGTCGTTGGGGCAACGCAGAGTGATGTGTCTAGGGCTATGTGTCGCATGGCGGCGCCCACCCCTTCCCATGCCTGACCACAGCAAGATGCCTCCATCTAGGGTGGCTCGCCTTTGGGGCGACGTCACGCTTTTTTGGACATTTTTACCTCCTTCCCTCCCCTCCGTCACACATCGTCACAAAAAGCCAGACCCCCCCCCCCACCCCTAAAATGACGTCACACTTCAGCCTACAACCCCCCGCAAAATCTCAGTTGAATTTTTCTTAAAACATTGGTTTTTTTTCGAAAATCTTGTCTGAACTCTGTCAAAATAGAATATTTTAATCAATTCCTATTACAATTTATTAAAACAGTTTTCTAAACCGCGAAATAACGTCTAAAATTTGTTTTCTAACATGGCTTTTTTATAATGCAAAAGTGTGACGTCGCACCATCTGAACCCCCCCCCCCCTCCCCCTCATCACACAACGTCACAAAATTACGGACTCCCCCTCCCCCCTACGAGTGTGACGTCATTTATGGACGACCCTTATGTCACGAACAGGTGGCCGTTGAATTTCATATGGGAACTCATGCGCCCTGGCCGCTGACGTTACTTTCTAAATAAAATATTTTAAAAAAACGTTGGCTACAGTTAGAATTGATGTATTTAAGACTTATTTGAGCGGGGAGAGATGGAGGGGGGAGGATTACCCAGAAGGGTTATTGACAGGGCGGTAATTCATCAGGGGGAAGGGGTGTCCTGTCAGGGGTGGACTAGCTGTGTCAAGAGGCCCGGGATATTTTAAAAGCCCCCCCCCCCCCTCTCCAGCTATAGCTTGAGATTTCATCTTACATTTTCTTCTCCATCAAAGCTTGAATTGTACGCCTAGATTGAGCGCTAGATTGCAAACCCGAAAGTCTCGAGTTCTAATCCGGATTCAAGTCAGTTGAACGTCACTAAGTCCACCCAGCTCTGATAGGTACCTGCATTGTTTCTTCCAGGCATCTCTTCGGGGGAGAGTCTACTGAAGAGAGTCTACCGCTATATACTTTTAACAGTGTCCGCCCCCCCCCCCCCCCCCCCGGAGAAAAAAGTCTGGAAGAAACACTTGGTACCTGACACACGTTAGGGAAAGCAAAGGATGCTGCGCATAGCGCTCACCGCATTATACCATCATATGCCGAGATCAAGAAACATATTAACTCTACTTCATCTGCCCAAGGGATCGCTAGATGTAAAGAGGAATCTTTACTTTTTTTTTAGAAATGGAGAAAAAAAACAATATTTTTTTAAAAAATCAAACCAATAATAGGACTATTGCTACAGCACCGTTCCTGACAGTGTTTCTTCCAGACTTTTTTCTCCCGGCAAACATTTTCTGGTGGGGTGGGGGGAGGGGCGGACACTTGTAAAACTAGTTTTTTATATATAAATTCCATTTCGTTCGGAGGAGGTGGGGGGGGGGGGGGCGGTAGACTTTCTTCGGGGGGAGATGCCTGGAAGAAAGTCTGGTTCCTGAGTGCCCACTAGTTTTTTTTTCTGGGGTCCCACTAGGATTTTCACCAGTAGACCGGCAAGCCAGTCCACCCCTGTGTCCCGTGTAACTGTCGACGGGGGGAGGGGGGGTTACTGTCCAAGACACACGTCCTACTGGCATCTGATTATCCAACTCACAAAAGCTCACAACAGAATCCCACAATTGTATTCAATTGTAAATGTAACACTGTGGTTTTAAAAAAGTCTCATCCCATCAGACCCACAGTTTCTGTCAGTGGAGAATTCGCTGTGCGCCCCTCGGGATGGTCCATCACTGGAAGAGCAGACCGACACGTTTTTCGCACAGTACGGGGAGAGTATTAGCAAGGAGGTCTTGGCGTTTTACAAAGTTGTTACAGGGGACGTAATGCAGGATTAGTAGGTTTTTTAGTTTTAATCTTTTTTTTTTTGCGTGACATTATTAATTGGCAGATTTAGATCCTAAAAAATAACTTTAATGAGTATTGTCATTAAAAATGTGGGAATTTATACAAGTGTCCGATAATAGAATATTCTTTAAAAAAGGGGTGTTAGGTTACTGGTAGTTAACTAAATACATACATGGCTGGCAAATGTCAATGCTAACCCCAGAGGCGTAGCGAGGGGGGAGGGTACATATGTCCCCGGGCGCCGACCCTAGGGGACGCCAAAGTGGGTTGAAAAAAATTAAAAGCTCATTTTAGCTGGTTTTGCATTATAAATATAAACAAAAATATATGGTGGAGGGGGGTCGCCAAATTGAAAGTTTGTTTTCGGGCGCCGGGAAGGGTCGCTACACCTCTGGCTAACCCTGTCCCTAACCCTATTTAGTCCTACCATACGCCTAACCCTAATTTCTCACCATAAAATTAGTCGAGATTTCAATACTACTAACAACCCAACACACCTATTTTATGGAAGAATCTATTATCGGACATCTGTATCTAAAATCATCCAAAATATGTTATTCATCCCCACACCAGCCCCGGCTACCCAACAATAATCAATCAGCTGCATGAAGTGGCCCATGAATGTGATCCAGTCAATAGGATCATCAGTGCCTTGGAGTACTGCATGTTCATCATAGACTCGCCCAACTTCTTCCGTTGCTTCGATTCATCTACCGATGCCTCGGTGGTAAGTGGCCAGATTTTGATACCCATTTAAGGCCAAATTTTTTAAATCGAAAAATAACATGGCATGAACGGCATACTTGTCTCAGCTGTGTTGCCAGCCCATAAAATTTAACAAGGTCATATCTTCGGTCTCATTAAGCTAGATATACAAAATTAGTATTGATGTAGCGGGGGGGGGGGGGGGGTCGTTTTTTTCCCTGGCATATTTTTTTCTGAAATAAGTGAGTTTTGAAAGTTCCGAGCGAGACCTATAAATTACCAGTTATTGATATCACTAGTTTATTATCATAACCCAATAAATTTAAAAAAAAACCCTAATTTTAATTAATTGATTATAACTGAATATTTTCATCGTAAACAGGCATTTTGTTTACTTTTATTAAAAACCATTGCTTAGCCTACTTGTATTGAAATATTAACAGGCTCACAGTCCCAATTTATATTTCTAAATACCCCCAGATGCTGGAAACACTGGAGACTTGCATATTTGCTTTCTGTAGCCATAGTACACCTCTGTGTAACGATGTCAAATCCAGGGTGATCAACTCACGGTGTGCAGTGCCTACAACACTGACCATACTGGACAAAAACTGTAACATTTGGATATAGACTGCCTGTAACATTTGGATATAGACTGCCTGTAACATTTGGATATAGACTGCCTGTAACATTTGGATATAGACTGCCTGTAACATTTGGATATAGACTGCCTGTAACATTTGGATATAGACTGCCTGTAACATTTGGATATAGGCTGCCTGTAACATTTGGATATAGGCTGCCTGTAACATTTGGATATAGACTGCCTGTAACATTTGGATATAGACTGCCTGTAACATTTGGATATAGGCTGCCTGTAACATTTGGATATAGGCTGCCTGTAACATTTGGATATAGACTGTCTGTAACATTTGGATATAGACTGTCTGTAACATTTGGATATAGACTGCATATAACATATGGATATAGACTGCCTGTAACATTTGGATATAGTCTGCCTGTAACATTTGGATATAGGCTGCCTGTAACATTTGGATATAGACTGTCTGTAACATTTGGATATAGACTGTCTGTAACATTTGGATATAGACTGCCTGTAACATTTGGATATAGGCTGCCTGTAACATTTGGATATAGGCTGCCTGTAACATTTGGATATAGACTGCCTGTAACATTTGGATATAGACTGTCTGTAACATTTGGATATAGACTGCCTGTAACATTTGGATATAGGCTGCCTGTAAAATTTGGATATAGGCTGCCTGTAACATTTGGATATAGACTGCCTATAACATTTGGATATAGGCTGCCTGTAACATATGGATACAGACTGCCTATAACATTTGGATATAGGCTGCCTGTAACATATGGATACAGACTGCCTATAACATATGGATACAGACTGCCTGTAACATTTGGATATAGACTGCTCCTGAATCTTTAAGCTAAACTCTGAACTCATTTTCATTGTATGGCCCTAGGTCTTCTATGTGAATACTAATCTACACAACTGACAGTACAATTTTAAAATTTAGAAAATAAAAAAAAATTCTGGTCTGAAGACAAATATAATTACCCGCTTCCCCATTTACTACCAATGAGCCATTTAATTTAAATAAATTATTTCTAATTATTATTTACAGCACTCTTTTATTATTCATGTACAAGCTCTAATGAATAAAGCACTATAAAATTAATACAATTGTTAATTTGTTCTATGTCATTAATAGATGGTTGATGTTTTACTATTGCTGTATCAGGGAGATCGGAAACTATACAAAATTGAATGCAGGGAACTTAAAATGTGGCAATCCTCACAATTCAGTTATGTTTGTACCCACAGATGGTACTAAGTATCACTAATTGCAAAAAGCTAAGAAACCAATTACCCCTTTTGGTATTTGGTTTCAATATCAATTCTCTACATCAAAAAAAGAATTTAGAAAGAATGTAACAAGAATATTTATTTAAAACATGTGATGATCACAATCATGATGAATTCTCACTACAAACTATCAACTCGTTCACACTAGACAAAACTTAAAATTTACTATATTAAATTCATACTGGCAGTCTATCTCTTTCAAATTAAAACGCAGCATTCACACAAAAAATGTATTTACAATACAATCATTCACTGTTCCATATAAACAAACTTAAGACTGATTGTCCATGTCATTCACTTCCATATGATTCTCTTTGTAATATTTTGTTGAGGACTGAAATAGAAGCATTGATCAAATGAAATTTATAAACGCTTATTTACTTAAGAAACAACTTTGTATTTAAATTATAACATAAAATGTAATAAAAAATTGTAAACTATCTTTTGGAAATGGTCTTAACAAAATTACAAAACTGATTGCAGGTTTCTTGAAAAGTTAAACTATTTAGCACTATATTGTGGTAAATATTATTGAAGGAAATGATTAAGATTTTAAAAAGTATTTTCCTTTATGACATTTAATCTTGAATTGTTTGATGCAACATTTTCAATATTTCAATTTAATACTTCAATATTTTAATAACAACTTAGAACAAATAATTTTACCCTAAAACAAATTAGCCACAATAAATCTGAGTAAATAGCTTTAAGTGTAAGGAATTTAATAACACATACTCAGAACTAAGAATGAATTATTTCAACTTTGCCTCAAATATTGAGAACTAAGAATGAATTCTTTAAAACAGGCCATAAATATTGAGAACTAAGAATGAATTCTTTAAACCAGGCCATAAATATTGAGAACTAAGAATGAATTCTTTAAAACAGGCCATAAATATTGAGAACTAAGAATGAATTCTTTAAACCAGGCCATAAATATTGAGAACTAAAAATGAATTCTTTAAACCTACCCACAAATATTGAGAACTAAGAATGAATTAACTAAACCTCAACACAAATATTGAGAGGTAGAATAAATTGTTTCGTTAAATCTACCTCAAAAGTTGTCAGCATGTGACTGCACATCTGTTTTAAATCTTTCAAAGCTTGCTTTAAAACATCCACTGCTGGTTTGCCTATACAGAAAAAAAATGGAAATTTTATAACTTAACTTTATAAGCTTTAAATAAAACAATGAGGAAGTATCAAAAACACATGTTAGCTTTTTTTTGCCATAACTGTATCTCAGTTTGGAGAGTCACAACCCATTCACCTTTAATGTGATGCAGCTGCCATATTTTATAATAATTTATGCTACTTGTTCAAGCAAAAATAATGATTGAGAGCAAGTGTCATTCAAGCATTCTCTGACAGATTTTCTTCGTACTAAGTTTGTAAAGTCACAAGTGCATGGCCAGTATTATAATTTTTAGAGAGAAGACTATATACTGTATACCAGGTAAATGTGCGGCAAGCTTTTTTGTATTAAAAATAGGTCCTATTGAGGTATTGTTAAACAAGTCTACTATACTCAATATCTCCCTAGTCTTTATATCAGAGGAAGCCTTCATATATTTTTTATTTCTTACACTGTCAGCCTTGTGACAAACACAAATGTTTTAGCTTTGTTTTAATGACTCTCCAATGGAGAAGGTTGAAAAAAAAAAGATGTCTATTATAAAAGGTACCTGATGTCTGAATGCGCAGGTTGATTTTGTTCTCCGAAGGATGGGTGATGCTGTAGCCAACAAAAGTTACATCTGGGCTGTGGAGTTGGATGGTCAGAATCAGTGGTGTTATATGGGGTAGGTGACACACAAACACAAACCTTGTAATACAGTTTTCATTTTACACTGAATCAGTGCTGATATATGGGGTAGGTGATACATAAACACAAACCTTGGCATATAGTTTTCATTTTACACAAAATCAGTACTGAAATATGGGGTAGGAGATACACAAACACAAACATGGCAAATAATTTTCATCCTACACAGGTGTTATAAATAAAAAAAAGCTTTGCAATGAATCTATATCATCACAGAAAAGCTTGTAAATAGCTAACACATAATATTGGGTCTATATTGGTGGGGGTTTTAGTGCTTTGATTTATTTTAATGAGTTTAATGAATTGAGCATAAGTGAAGGCACTGGGAGGACCATTGCCTAGGTCTACCATCATAGTCAAAGATCTTATAGATCTGATGACAACAGGGCAGATGAAGCAGAGATGTATTAGTATCTCACAACTGTGTACTAGAAGACATCTTTCCCTTCTCTACTGTGAGTCAGGTACCCCTTCAGAGCTGACTAGATTATGTGCTTGAGCCGGTTCATCAGTGTTATCTTTTCACTTTTGTGCCCAAGACACACGGGGCCACCAAGAAAGCTTTTTCCAGTCAGTGCCAATTTTCCTGATAGTCCTGCCATTGTCTATTGCTTTTCAGCTGTGAGCCTTCATGTTTTCCTTGAGGGGTCCAGCTTAGAGCTATTCCTGTGATATCATCTGGATTTATTCTTAAAAACGTGCTACATCCAGTGCTATCTTTTTCAATTATTTCAGAAACTGCTTTGATTTCCACAAGTAATCTATAATTGGAGATGGTGTTTGGGACAGTGGATGCCTTTATCCTTCACAGGCACTTATTTTTGGAAGAATCCAGTGAACTGCTGGTGATGTTGAGCCTGTTATTTAATGTTAACTGAACTTGAGACTTGTGTGCGATAATCATATGCGCTGCTGCTCAACCGCTCTCTCTCTTCGTTCTTAGTAAAAAAATATACTTTTAAAAAGATTAGCATCAACTAATACGGTACCTACTTTTTATTAAGCATATACTTCAAGGAATTCCCCAAAGTATGATCTTCGTCGTGTAAGATAAATGTTTGACAAGTTTCATCACCATCATTTCTTGCATCGAGCTGAGAAGTTTAAAAGATACGTTTAAAACATATTAACTAACAAAACCAAAACAAAAAAATACTTTACTGTTTTAAACTAACATTCTTACAACATAGTAAAAAAAAAAATTTAAAGTCCATTTTAAATTTAAAAAATAATTATACACATTATTTTCTTTAGTTAAATTAGTTAATCTAAAGTTTTCTAAAATATTTATTAATATGCTTAAAAAAAATAATAAAAAACAACTTTGTTGTAATAAAATGAGATTATTTTAGCAAATGGGGTTCCCATGTATTCTAACCAAAATTTGGGAGTGTAGATTATAAAAGTAACCTTAGTAATGCTTTGTGTCTCCAATTAAAAACTGCGTGTGGAACTTAAAGATTTGCATTAAAAGAAGCTGTCAATTTATCAAAGTAATTCTGCTAGAATTTTTGGTTAAGGATATTTTTTGGAACTAATCTTAGCTGTGGTGTGTTCACTTCTCTGAGGAAAGAACTAATTAGTAATAAACTATGCCCAGCCACCTTAATTTTCTCAGAATCAAGACTTTCATGTTCCAGTAAGATGAGTTAACCAGACTTATGCTCTACTATGCCATCTCTATTAATAACTAATAAGCATAACTAATTACAATTAAATGTTATATAAAACTTGCCAATTCTAGACAGGGCTTTTGTTTAGATGTTGAATCTTGATGGGTCATGGTGATAAACCCTGGTAGAGCTAAACCTATAGGTAAACAAAAAGTATAATTAGGCCTATATTGTGTACATTCTATTAACAAGTAAAAACTTTTAAAATATATAGGTAGGCTGTTTGGTTCGTGTACTTTCTATTTCAATGGATCGTGATCTACTATTAAAAAGGCCTATCTAGTATCTAGACCTAGTAAAACTAGTACAAGTTAGACTTTTTATGTAACTAGATCTAGATCTTTCCTTTTAGTATCCTACCCAATTAGTTAGTAGTTTACTGTAACTAGATCTATATTTAATAATATTACTATATTAAAATGAGATTGTTTTTATTATGCCTATTGCTTTGAGTTTAGGCCTAGTGGTAATCTATCGTTTAATGTACGTAAAAATCGCCCGCAACTAGTAATGTGAAAAACAGGTGACCCCTTAAATTTTAATAATTATTTGACGTTTTGAGGAGGATTTATGTTTTGAAAAATACAAAAATGTTTCTCTGTTTCATTTATGTACCTGTTTTTAAACAATTGAATTAAAACTTTTCAGTAATAAATGAAAACTAGCGATGTTTCCAACAGATGCAACATGGCTCATTTACTATAGCAGCCATCTTGTTGAAGTTTTATTTTATAAACTTAAAGCATGAGATTCAGGGGAAGCCACTCTAACTTACATATAGCAAATCCTGCTCGCAAACACTGCTGTTTAAAGTTAATTTCTTACCTATATTGATCGTCAGCCATTGATTTAGGTTTATTATTCATTTATCGATAATATTTGACACAAATATTTATTAAATATATCACAATTTATTCTTCTATTAAAGTATAATAATTAAAGCCTTGACAATGAGGTAACTTTTTTGTACATTACTAGCCGAGGGCGATTATACGTGTAGGGCCTACCTAAAACGATAGATTACCGGACCGGCCTAGTCAGGCCTAGTGTATATTTAATATTTTTATTTAGGCCTAGCTCTTTGCAATAAGGTGAATAAGGCATGATAATTAATTAATAACCCAATCAATGAGCCCACTGGTTCAGTGGTTGGTTGAGGCTTGGCCAGAATGTTGTTCTGCTAGTGCTAGGGACTCAACTACAAGTACAAGCCACTCAAGTTCAAGTTGACTCAAGGCTTAAGGCCGCCTTAACTTAACTTAAGTTACTTAAGTCTTAAGGCAATTAGATCTAGATCTAGATGAATCTATAAGCCAAGATAGATACAGTAAAAAATAGTAACAATAAGTTGGGTGTGTAGTGTCACAGTAGTGTGTAAAGTAAACTGTAAAGTGTAAGTCTAAAGTCTAAAGTGACACTAAAGTCAAAACTCTAATTTACTCTAAACTAAAATAAAATAAATGATTTACTAGATTCTTGTTCTAGATCTAGAATAGAATTTAGTTAGTACAAGTTGTCAAGAGTGGCATACACGAGGTTTTTATTGGAGTGAAGTTTGTTTACCAAACAATTTCCGAGAGTAGCTCCCCTTGAAATGTTTTCATTAGGAACGTATCACTGATACGTTCCTAATACGGCGTTTACACTTGCGACATGTATACTATACATTTCTAGGGAAAAAAACTTTGCTATAGGGCCTAAATTAATAGGGGAGCCTACTCACTTATTGCGAAGTTTTTTTTTTCTAGACATGTATAGTATACATGTTGCAAGTGTAAACGCGGTATAATGAAAACATTTCAAGGGGAACTATTCTCGAAAATTGTCAGTAGGCCTAGACTTTTTGTTCTTGCTCAGTAGTGTATAGTATAAGTATAGTCTATGGGCTGGACATAAATTTAGATCTAGATCTAGATGATCTAGTCGCACACGCTTCATTCTGTAGGTTTTTGACTGTTTAAAATTTTAAAAATGAAAATTTTATTCTTATGCCTATATTATAGAGGAATCTATACTATAATATTTAAAATATAGAATCTAGAATTTCTATCATAGGCCTAGGCTAGCTAGGCCTACTAAAATTGTAATAATTCTTCTAGAGTTAGACTCTCTAGACTAGTCAAATTTATTTTAATTTAATTCCAATGATAGCAATGAAGATTTATTAGGCCTAAGCCCCCTAAAAAAATAAGCCTAACCTAATGACTAATGCAACATTTAAAAATAGGGAAGTAAGTAAAATTCCCTTTCATATCTGTAGATAGATTCTATTCCCATCAGTATCCCCCCCCCCCTCCTAAAAAGTTTGCTGCCCACCAGTAAGTTTCAAGAAGTCTGAAAGAAATATTGTTTTTTTTCTTACCTCTGCAAGGCTATTGTAATTGTAGTCACTTCAATCAGATTTCTTACACTATATTTTTTTAGATTAGCATACTTAGTATTACTTATTACTTAGTATATTATATAAATAATAAAACTATTTAGTATTTAAGTGTATTTACTACTATTTACTGCTAATTCATTGAAATTTATTATAGGCCTATAGACTTGCTTGTAATTTATTTGCATAATAGTTTTTAATACTGATGAGGAACATTTTTACTTTTCTTTTAGAAGAACATTTGTCATGTGGAAATTCTACCTGTGCAAGAGAAATTCAAGTGATGGAAACTAAATCTTTGGTACGGCACAATTATCAAGACTTGCAAGATCTAATCCAAACATACGACGACATCCATCAAACAGTTGAAGTCAAGCATGGGCATCTCAGCTATGTCTGGATGGAGAGTAATAAAAACTTATATGAAACAACCAAAGCACTGGAAATGATTCTGAGCAAAAAGCTGCCAGCTGGCTACGAATTTAATCATCCGTACATAAACTTCCGCTCAAAAATAATTACCATTGCTAAAAAATTTAACAAGCTTAATCCTTGTAATAGTGTTCACTGGCATAATATTGTATCATGGCTAGAAAAACCTTATAAGATGCCACCGGCCCATGTTAAAGATACAGCTCTTGCTAAATCAACCGAAAATGAAGTACCAGAAAGGTTAAACACTGAGCCCAGGAGTCTCTCTGAGAAACAGTCTGCTGTATTTAAACGCAAGTTCTCAGGTGATGAGGGTTTAGTGGAAGCAAATAAGAAGCTGAAAGCTCAACTCCAGGAGTGCAAACGTAAACTTGAGAAAGCTAAAACTAAAGTTAAAGAAAATAAAAGGCTAAACCAGAAAATAAAGAAGTTGAGGTCTGAGCTGGAGAAACAGAGGCAATTGGTTGAAATATTGAAGGGGTCGCAACAATTCTTGATTGACAAATTAAGAGCATCTTATAACGATAACTCCTCAGCTAAAGGAAGTCCCTAAAATAAATATCCCCTACAAAAGTGTGTTGATTTTGTACATGGGGGTGGGGGGCAGAGTTTGTGGTGTTCTCTTATAAGAAAAAAGGGTCGAACTTGAAACTGCATGTTACTTTATTCAAATTTAAGAATTAGTTGTCAGAAAAAAGCTTGAAAAATGTACACAAGACATTTGCTTTTATGAACTTACACAATTAATAGTACTAAAAATAGAACCTTCCTCTCCAGTGTTACGTTTTCAATATTTTTTTTAATTGAATAGAATTTACAAAATTAGAAGAGAATTTTTTTTATCCCAAAATGTTGAGTGGCTTTGTTGAGAAGTAGAAGGGTATATTTTCTTAAATAACTTTAGAAGATCAGGAATTGTGCAACAAAACAATTATAATCCCCTATTTTAAACCTCTGCAGTATTTAAGATTTTAATCATTACCGAATCATTATAAATTTTATATTATGTACCAAATTATTCATGAGTTTGTTAATCTGTATTAATTTGTATAAATAGTGTTATTATCAACCTTCACATGTTCTTTACTTTGCTTATGAACTTTTTATTAAACTTGTTGAATTTCATGGGCCTTAAAAAATGTTATAAATCATTTTTTTTTGTTTTTTTTTAAATATTGCTGACACAAGTTTAATTGAATTTGTTTTTAATTACAGTATGTATCCTACTGGTATTTAATTAGCCCATATCCTGTATCAGTTTTAAGGCATAGTGGATGTTGTCACAACTCATCATTCAACAAATTAACTTCAGCTTGGTACTAAACACTATATGTAAACAACAGCACACTAGCCATACAGAAGCTGCCCTGGTGTGTTATAGTTTATTTATGAAGAAGCTGAAGCTAAAGTTTCACCACTTGTTGTCCCTGATCTAAAGCCCTGTCTGGCAGATTGAGTAATAAAATAGCATCTTCCATCATTAAAATTGTATAGTGTTGTAGAGTTGCACCTTGAGATTAAAAAAACAACTGATTCTGTGGTCAGATTCATGTATTTCACAGAACAGAAACAGTACCCAGAGATGTGGAATAACACAGTGTTTAAACAAATCTGAAGTTGAGTCCATAAAGTTTTCATAAAGTGCCCACACTCAAGAAGTTGATACAGTTGTATCAAACACTGTTTAAAGAAAATGAGCTGTTTTGTCCATTTATATGTTATAATCTAAAAAGGCAGGTTACACCATATACCATTCTACTGATGAAAGAAAGAGATTTCTAAATATCCAAGCTGCCCTCAAAATTTAACTTTTTAATTTTAAGTTAATTTAAGCTTACACTAAAAATCAAGTGCCCAACATTCTCTGTCGATCTCTTTTAAATTGAAAAACATTCCGAGTTCACTACCATCTGATTGCATTAGAAAAGATAAGCCTTCAACATTTCATCATACCAAAGTTATCAGTTCAGACAAAAAAAAAGCTGAATCCCTAATTTCTGCTGAAAAGAAAGACTTCAACAAAAAGATGCCTTACACGCAGAAATGAATAGAAACTTTATGGCTTCTCTTTGTGGCTAGAAATGAACTTTGAAGAAATCACAAAACCTTTAATATTGTTAGATATTTAAAAGCACTGTTGGCTAGTAGTATTTTTTTAATGTTTTTAATACATTTCGATTATAAAAACAATTAATTCAATTATTGTATATAATATATTCAATCAGTATTAAATTCACATGTTTACTTACATTTACATGTTCATTTTTGTTTTTGCTATAAAAAAAACTTCCTTTAATATTGTATAAAACATTTTAAGTCAAAGCAAATTACTGACTCCTGCATTCATTTTATTTATACATTAAATCTAAATTACAGAATAAACATTCAATTTTACTACATAGGCCTACTTTTAAAAAAAATAGTAAAACATTACTTGTTCTGTTAAAAAAAGTTAATTTTTGCAAAGAAAGGTGAGAAACAATGCAAATTAAAGACCAAAGACAATCAGATTCAAAACCAGAAGACGGCATTCATACTTAAGTACATAATACATCTGGAATAGCTATCGTAACTGGCTATAAAAGTGTTTTGAAATTCAATATTTAAAGTTTTTAAACTTAAACTTTTTAATTGTATTTGTATTTTGTTCTATCTCAAAAATGAAAAAAAATTTTAGATTGCGCATCATTAATTTAATGCTCTTTAACATGTTATAATAAACTAAATTATTTAGAACAGTTTTATTGAGTAAATTACATCCTATGAAATTTTAGATGCATTTTCCTAAAAACTATAGTCTGATGGCCAAGAACAAATATTAACTATAAAAGTTTTATGAACGATTTTGGAAAAACAGGTAATCAGACTAGTTATCCCACCAAGACGTGACAGATATCTGGCTTGGGTAGGGAAAGTAAAGACAGCTGGGCATAGTGCTGACCACAGTATCATTTTATAAAAGCTGTTGGAGAAACAAGACCTCTACCTCATATGCCCATGGACAATCTGGTTTAAATATTTAAAATTATGACTTTAATTATTATAAGCAATACATATTTTAAATAAGCTTTTCAGCAAAACAAAGCAGTAAACATTATTTTAACATGAATTTCATATTACAGTTTATAAATTTTCTTCTTTACATAAACATTATAAAAAACTAACAAATGGTCCACTAGTATCTCAAACAGGACATTCACAACTCCAAATATAAGACATAATTTGCTATTCTTCAACTTGAAAAATATCACTATCCAAACACTCAGACACATTAAAAGAAAAATTATTTCAGCAAAGTAAGTACTTTATACATCTCAGTCTTTGATTTTCAGTATACTTCGTTTTTCAAGTTTTTCCATTTCACTAAGAACTGACGCCACTTGAAACCTCAGGTCTTGAAACTTGGACACAGACATCTGAAAGTAAAAGTATAAATAATTTTTATTTATTTGCTAGACAACGGAAAGTGAAAGTTTAAATACTTTTTTTATTTGCTTGCTTTAAGTTAAATTGCATAAAACTTTAAAATAAAAACAGAATATAAAAGTTGCTAATAATATGTGCTTATACAAGTTGAAGATAGCATAGCTGCATGCGCACACAAAAGATACAGTACCTCAAAATTTTTAACACTTCCATCTGACAAGGACATATCCATAGTAACACCTCGGACGAGTACTCTATTCAAAACTCTAGAGAATAAAAAGATTTTGTTCGATAATTGTATAATATACAGAATGCAAGTTACAATTATTTTTATATGTTGCTGGAATCAATAGAAATTAACAGGTGATTCTAATTTGGTAACTTTTGTAGGGTAATGAAGAACTTGAATATCAATTTCATGTACAGAAGCAAAAAGAATATAACAAAAACTATTTATAAAGAGTAATATGAATAATTATTAACTCATTAAAAAATATTTCTATTTTAATGAGAAAAATTTTAATTACTTCTCTTCATACATAAACAACCTCACAAAGCCTTTACTTATAACATCTGGGTGTCCTATATGAACTTGACCTAAGAATTAAACAGGAAACCTGGAAATAGCCTGTTAGCAAATAAGTTTTATATGTAATGGTTGTTGACCTACCCAGTAGATATAGCAACATCAACTCTCCAGTCCAGATGCTCTAGAGATGGGAACCTGGGCCTGTCTGAGGTCAACTGCTCATCAATCTGAGCTCTCACTGGGCCAAAGATGCAAGTGGCCAAATCCTCATGAAATTCTGCCGGAATTCTGTCAAGTATTCAATATATAGCCCTATATATTTTAATATGTACATTTTTTTTCTGTTGGTGTACCAGATTTGAGTTTAAAAAATAAAGGAGATATGCCATAGGTATCACAAGTATTTTTTTTTAAGCAATAGTTTTTGGGTGAAATTTTTTTTATTCAATAATAAACAATTAAATAGCAAGTTGCTACATTGTTTTCTTCCTTCATTGTAAGGGTAAAATGACTAGATTCTTAAGAGAACAGATGTGTTATAAGATTTCAACAGGATTATCCTGTGATCACAGATTAAATTAGTGTGCAGTAAAAGTTTAATAGGTGAAAATAGAGACCTATTATTAATTGAAAATACATAGAATCCTGATGATCTATATTGCAGGAGTTGAGTTTTTTTTAGCATACCCAATAATCAAGAGCCATGTATTTTTGACATGCTTTAGGAAATCTACTCATATTCCTAAGTGTAAAATTACTCAGCCTCAAATTCTTTTGGGTAGCAGTAATATATTAAAGGCTGTCTATTACTCTAGTTTCTTTAAAATAATTTTAATGAGCTTCACTTACTGTAAATCTGTAAGGTCTTGTAGAAAGTACTGAAGACAAACAACATGAGCTATATAACAACTAAACATGTAATCATACTTAAAAAACATGTATGGAACTTACTAACTTTTTAAAAAGTTTAGCAGAATAAAGGACACTGTGTTTAATTTTCATTATAAAAAAACTGACAAGAGTAACTAAAATAAGTAACTGATTACTTAAATTTAAAATTCCGATATACCATACTTCATAAATTTATATTATAGCTATAATAATGGTAAAATGATTATTAACTATAAAATTTTATTTTTATTAACTATTACTTTGGGATTAGAAATTTACAGTGTTAAGATAAGCTACTAACCTCTTTACGCAGTGAGGCGCTTGGTATTTTTAGAGCCAGTCTCACAAGTTTATCGATGCCGCAATATATCACAGCAAATGTTTCCTCTGTTAGGTTCTCTTTGAGAAGAGTTTGTATGCTTTGGTAATTTGGTTTTGTTCCTAGAATTGCTGAAACTATCACTGAAAAGAAATGTAAGTCATTAGAAATTGAAGTTTTAAAAAAATGTATTTAATTATTTTAATTGACTCTTATCAAAAGCAGCATACAATGGGATTTAACTTAGATACAAATATAATAACGACAGGAAAACACGAGCCAGAGATGACAGCAAAAAATTTTGGCATTTTAAAAAAGGGTAAATCAAACCTTTCAAAATTTTGGTGAACATAAGTTTGTCCAATTTGGCAAGAGGTTTGATCATTGCTTGTATCTCATGTGGCGTGCGTGCACCTACAAATGATGTTCTGTCAAGGCCGACTGTTCCTCCAGCTCCTTTGACTTGAATGATTGACATTTTTAAACCTACCTACAGACTTATTTCAAATAATAATTAGATTATGTTTATTAGCACATTCATAAATATCATTTAAAATATAAGAGTAAGAGGCAAGCAGAATATCTAAACTCTACACTAAACACTTATTAGCCACACCATTATACCAAAGCAGATTAATAAAATATGAATTTTATATGAACTAGCACTCAGCTATATACTATATAGATCTATATATACTACTATAGTCCTATAAACTATAACTTAAAGTTAGGCTAGTTAGCAGTTCTACTGTTAACTGTTACTCGGTTGACAGTTCCAGTTAATGTAACTGACTGGTCACTGGTGTAGTGTATTAGTGTAACATTAATACTAGATCTAGATTCTAGATCTAGATCTAGAAGAGAATCTAGAGATCTAGTCAATAGTCATGACATTATTATGATTTAACCAAATCAATCAGTTCTATTCACTAGTCTTAAAATAAAAGTGTCAAAGAAGAAGTAAACTCTATCAACATTTAAAAAATGCCTAACATGGTAGCTTAAAATACAATTTACTTCAAACCAATATTTAATATTTAGATAGGCCTATCTAGTTTAAAATTTAATTTTAACTCAAGGTGGGCGTGGTTTGTTTTGAAACTTCAAACTTTCATAAGTTTCAGTCAGAAGTGTAGTTACAATGACAACGGCATATATGTGCTTACGTATTCCTTAAATTACTAAGAAACACTCGAAGTATGCTTACCTCTGAATGAAGAATTCAAACTAAAAATAATAACTTATTAATCCAGATTCATTATGAAATTTTTACCGACAAGATATTCACAGCACAACAGTTGCTTGTTTGTATAACTAAAGTAAAAAGTGTTTAGCTATGTAGTTAGTCCAGTTGAATCTAGCGCAGACAGCTGAAACAAGTGTGCAGTTAAATTGATTTTACATTCATGAAAAGTAAAATTAGATTTTTTACTACTATACTAGGCCTATGTGAAAAGAAATAGCCTTTGTCGTGCCGTAATGAAATAGTAACATTATGTGTTGAACTGTGGACGTATTTCCTATATGCCTATAATATATACTTTTAGGACAATAGAGACATTTATTTTTTTGTAAAATTATAATAATAATGAATTAAAATAAGAAAGAACAGTTAGTATATTTTAAACTAAAATGATAAACTTTTTTGACGATTTTTACCTCCCCCCCCCTCCTCTCCGTCACACATCGTCGCAAAAAGCCAACCCCCCCCCCCCCCCCCCAAATGACGTCACACCTCAAAATTGCAGTTGACTTTCTCTTAAAATACGATATTTTCCCAAAATCTTGTCTGAAATCTGTCAACATATAGCATTTTAATCAATTCCTATTACAATTTATTAAACCAGTTTTCTAAAAAGCGAAATAACGGCTAAAATTCGTTTTCTAACAATCTAACATTGCTGTTTTATAATGCAAAAGTGTGACCTCACACCATCTGACCCCCGTCCCCTCCCCGTCATCACACACCGTTACAAAATTACGGACCCCCCCCCCCACCCCTCTCTCTCCCCCCCTACGAGTGTGACGTCATTTATGGACGACCCCCTTAGTGTCTCCCCCTCCCGGAAGAAAAATCTGAAAGAAATACTGCTGTTGGTTTTTTATGAAGGTACCTTGTTTTCGGCGTCTGTTATAAACTTTTGGGGGTAATGAAGGCGCTTCTATAAACGACATGGCTGACACATGTTACCCTATTTCAGTCTTAGAGGCTATATGATGTTGAATGTGGGATACAAGTAATAAGTCGCCAGCAGTGGCGTAGCGAGGTCGGTTGTCACCCGGTGCGGCACTTAATGGTGTCACCCTCCAGAGGCGTACGACCCTTCCCGGGGACAAACTTTCAAGTTGTCGATTTGCAGCCCCCCCCCCCCCCCCCGCTCAAACTTTCGATTTGCACCCCCCCCCCCCCCTCAAGTTTTTCTCTTTATATTTTGCTATTTGTTTGCCTTGGTGTCAACCCCCTAAATGATGTCAAATAGGGGCCCTTTTTCGAAAGTTTGAGGGGGGGGGGGGTGCAAATCGAAAGTTTGTCCCCGGTCGCCGGGAAGGGTCGCTACGCCTCTGAGGGGCCCACTAACACTTTTTGCATAGGGGCCCAAAAATCCTAGCTACTCCACTGAGCTATTTAAAATCAATATTGGAACTTTAAAAAGTTATTTTCTGAAATGCTAATATAAGTTTCCAAAACATACAGTAGTTAGTATTATTTCAAATCGGTAACATCGGTGTACTATATCTTCTCAATTGTGATGTACCGGGGTTCAACATCGCCTATGTAAGGTGTGCCTGTCATAATTAACCATTGCACCATTAATAGTAAACGTTGTCGCAAAAAGTTGTTGAATTCCGACTCCAATTAAATGCTACATCAGCTGCTAAGCAAAACGTTTTTATTTTTCAAGTGATTATTAAAAAGCTGATTTATTAGCTCATTGTTAGTCCCTGTTCTAATTTTCATAATTTGCTGTTAGTTTATGAAGAGGCTTTTCATATTGTTGTAAAGGGGCACTGCCCCTATACCCCCTTTTCGACGAAACAGAAATATATATATATATATATATATATATATATATATATATATATATATATATATATATATATATATATATATATATATATATACAGTGGCGTAGCGAGGTCGGGTGTCACCCGGTGCGGCACTTAATGGTGTCACCCCCCAGAAGCGCAACGACCCTTCCCGGGGACAAACTTTCAATTTTCGATTTACAACCCCCCCCCCCCCCTCAAACTTTCGATTTGCACCCCCCACCTCTTAAAAGGCTATTTAACACTCTAATTAATCACTCTATTAAGTGGAATTATCATTTTTCTCTATATATTTTGCTATTTTTTGCCTTGGTGTCACCCCCCCCCCCTAAATGGTGTCACCCGGTGCGGACCGCACCCCCCGCACCCCCTCGCTACGCCCCTATATATATATATATATATATATATATATATATATATATATATATATATATATATATATATATATATATATAATAACTTTTTAGGCCACACCCAGGTAACTTCTCGCACCCCACCCCGAAGAAAGTCTAACCCCCCCCCCCACCCTACCGAACGAAATGGAATTTATATAGAAAAAATATACCTTTACCGGTGTCAGCCCCCCGGAAATTTTAGTCCCCCCTCCCGAAAATTCCCCCCCCCCCCCCCCCCCCCCCCGGATAAAAGAAAGTCTGAAAGAAACACTGACCGTACCCCTAGAGGAGATACTCAGGCAACACGAAACAAACAACGTGCGATAGCTGCCTCGTCTTTTAAGGCAACGTAAATATTCCGTATATTTATCTTTGGGTTGTTTTTTTTTTTTTCCGTTTCAACTTTCGTTTTTAAAAACAGTAGGAACAAGGGTCGACGGAAACCAAAAGCTTGAAATCAAAAATTGAATATTATGCTTTTTGGTGTTTAGATCTATATAATCGTAATCAGTGTTTCGTTGAAACTTTTTCCTCCGGGGGGAGGGGGGCCACTTGCAACTTTCGAGGGGAGGGGTGAACTAAATTAAATTTCTGGGGGGGGGGGGGGTCACTGGTAAAACTATGTATTTTCTGTATCAATTCTATTTCGTTATTTATTTTAAGAGATGCCTAAAGGAATCACTGATCGTAATGTCTCTTTTATATATATATTAACTTATACACCCTTATAATCACGATCCAACTTGCTTATAACTTAATTTAAGAGTTCAAAGTTCAAACCAATTCTAGGGTAGGCCTATTTCACTTTTATTTTCGTAATATGTGAGAGTGGGGCAAAAATAAGAGGGGGGGGGGGTTGAGACTTCTTGAATAAAATATAATTTAAATAACTTAAATGGTCGTACTTTCGAGGGGTCCAATGTTTCTCTCTTAACTGACGTCATTCAAAGTAAGGGACAGTAGGGTTCAACTGGAAGCAGGGGATAGGTGGGTAGAAGGGGAACCAAAATCGATGAATTTGTTTAGCGAAGTTTAATCTCTCGCCTCCCACACTTTCTCTCAGGGTCGCCTCGTCAAAACAATCGCTGTAAAAATAGAAGAAATAAATAAACATCCGTCTAGCTCCGATACGCAAATATTTGATGTGGGCGTGGCTTAGACTATCACGTGAAAAAACAATGAAACGAGGGTGAAAGCTGAGATACATGTGACTATATTGATGTGAGGGCGTGTGACAGTATAGATGGGACAGTATAGATGTGAGGACATGTGAAAATACAAATTTGAGGTCACGTGACATGTCTCATTACTTTACAAGTACTCACTCGAGATGATACTCAACGTTTGGCTAATTAAAATCTATTTATAGACGTGTTATACACCCAATGACACACTAAAGCATTTACCCGAATATATACATATATATATATATATATATATATATATATATATATATATATATATATATATATATATATATATATATATATATTTATATATATACTATGACCGAGTTTCATTTTATTTTCAAAACACAATACATTTTTTGTGTGATATATATATATATATATATATATATATATATATATATATATATATATATATATATATATATAATCTCTATATCTATAAAAATTCTACAGATTCTATATAAAACTCAGAATAACTTTAAACAACAAAACGTCGGTTTATTAGCTTTTGGTAACGGGTGGTTGAAGGCGAAAATGGCCCAAAGCTCGATAAGAATTTTTTTTTTCTACACTCAGGTACGACCTCGGTCTAGTGTTGATATTTTCTTCAGCAGTTTTTTTGTTTATAATTTTTACTATGAGCCTTATAGGTCAATGCCATTCACCTTCTAAAAGACTTCGTCGCATCACGTAAGCATATTTTGAAACTTTTTATTGTTTTTTTTATGTGTTACGTTCAAACCCCACTCTCGGTTACCTATATCTCCCGAATGAGAAAAAATAATAATTCGTGCTTTGAAGGCGAATAAGAAAAGAGAAGGACTAGGAATTGTTACAATGTGGGTAGTTTATATTTTAGATCAAACTTGTAGAACTAATACAGTCATGGAAACGGCAATGTGGGCTGTTCTGAGGAATCAAGTTGAGATCAAGGAAACGTAACGATACACACAGTAGAACATAAAAACAACTGCTGTAACTGTCACGTAAACAAGTGCTGAAGTTCAACCTTTTATCATGCGATGACTGGTTCAAAATAATTGCGTGATTACGGGTGTGTTGTTGTTGTGTCATGTGATTAATTAAGATAATAAAACGGTTTCCGAGGCAGGAATTTATCTTAAGGGAGAAGGGGGGGGGGGGCGGGTTCATAAAATGTTTAACACACACATTTTCACATTTGTATTCAATAACAAACTTTGTTTTTTTACATTTTAAGATCGTAAATTATGGTTTTATTACTTAAAAAATATTGAAACTAAGAGCAATAAAAGCGATAATAGTACTCGAGACAGTTGTCATTTGGGGAGAAGGGGGGGGGGTGTCCTCCCTCCATGCCCCTCCCCCCCCCCGGCAACGCCACTGATTAAAACAATATTTTATTCCCACCAGACGCCAAAGTGCCAGTGACAACCGTTGACATTTGACAAATTAAAAACAGGAACACGTATGGGTTTTTCCTTTTTACTCATACTGACGTGATAAATAACTTTTTTTTTTCTGTGGAGAGCGTCTCGGGACTTTTTGTTGCACGCGGCTGGCAAAGATGGCGAAACAGAAACAGCCATTTATGTTTCACACCCAGATTTATTTTTATCAAAGTTAGATGAACAAGGAATAATTTTCGTCTCTTCACCAGATTTGTTTTTTTTTTTACTGTTTTAAGGAAGAGTGGCTTCTATTAATTTTACTTAGGTTACTCAATGCTCTTTTTTTCGTGGATAATTTCTCATTGATGTTATTCATTCGAAAACATTCTATTTTCATCTGAAATTAGTATTGTGGCTAGAATTTTGCTTACTTATTTATCGTTTTGGCGTTGTTCGCTTTAACCCAAAATTTAAGCCTGTTGTCTACAGTTTAAACAGAATTAAATTTTTCTTGAAAGCTCAAGTGAGATACAACATCTTATTTCAAGAAAAATATTTATTTTTCATTGATCTACAAGATTCTGGTATTGAAAGATGACTAAATCATAGATTTTAAAAAGCGCACATAGTTTGAAATCGTTGTTGGAGTTCTCAGCAGGAATCAAACTCTAGCACGTACACCAAGTACAACTGGCTCTTCCAAATAGTCGCCAAAGAAAGTGACAACCTACGAATTCACTAACAAAAAAAAAATCTGTTCTCTTAAAGTTAAATACTAACACACCTCATTGGATTTATTTTTAGAATGAGTTTCTTTTCATCGTTGTGCGCAGCTGTCGTCTGCTTCCTGCTTGTATCGCCTGGACGATGCAGCTACGGCCACAACCTCTTGAACGCCCTCGCCACCTCACGTCTCAGCGATCTCTACGAAGAACACTGCAAGGACATTTGCAACGACACGTCCTTTTTATCCCATATCAAGTATCTGAACTGCTCATTCAAGGACCTTACATGTGTGCCAGCGTTAGCTCAAGAATATTCAACCGTTGTTATAGAATTTGACCTACATAATAACTCCATTTCGTATATTGAGAACGAAACGTTTTCCGGGTATTTTAATCTAGAGAAGCTTGACCTGTCCAACAATTTAATTTCGTTGCTGCAGGCTTATGCTTTTATCGGACTCGGAAGTTTGACACATTTGAATCTTTTCAACAATCAACTTCCAATGACGAGCTCTACCTTCCACGACGATGTTTTCAACCCCCTTGTAAACCTAACTTGGCTTAAACTTAACAGAAATAACAACGTAAGCCTAGAAGGGTTAAACTATCCTGACGTTGCGTTATCAAAGCTGGTAAAATTAGAATATTTGTTCCTGGATGGCGTCAGAAATGCGGACTTCGGTCCAGGTTTTCAAAACTTGACGTCGTTAAGGAGTCTGACACTTGCAGGCTACGACGAAGGGAACTGCCACATGGGGTCTCTCAGTAACACGACCTTTCAGTACCTTCAACCTTTAACCTACTTAAACATCCGCTCGTGCTTCATCACTGGAAAATTCATCGCAGCTGGGGCGTTTTTGCCCCTGAAAAATCTGGTCACCCTTAATATAACTCACAACGAAGACATCGACATTCACGGTCTGAGGAACGTCTTTTACGGCTTGAGAAACACGACGTCTCTGAGAGAACTCAGCATGAACCTAATCGTGAACCGCTACTCGCTTGGGATTTGTTTAGACAGCTCGTATCTGAAATATTTCCCGCCTAATTTAGAAATCCTACACGCGCAGGAAAACAATTTAGAAGCAGTGGAGAGGAATTTGACGTCCCTCCTCCCCAAAACTCTAAAATATCTAGATGTCAGTGGGAACAGATTTGTGTTTGGGACCTACCTTAAGGACCTTCCTCTACTTGAGAACCTAGAAGAGCTACAATTCAACCACGCTACGTTTGAGTACCTAATCCCCGGTAGCTACCCTTTTGAAATCAGCCTCAAGGCGTCAGACAGTAACTGTACTCTATACGGAAAATACAAAACCGATGCGAAAAATGAACAATTCATGTTTTATTTACCACCAAAGTTAAAACGTTTAGAAATGAACAGCGTGGACTTACACTACAAGTTGACAGAATTCCGGGTAGCGGATAATATTCTGCAGTATTTGAGCGTGACAGGAAATAGTTTCCGGCAGCTCATCGGACCGATCCACAACTTACGGAAATTAACGGTTCTGAACATTTCCTCCAGCAGCGTGGAGATAATCTCCGATGTATTCTTCACCACATTGACAAGTCTCAAGAGCCTGAACCTCAGCAGCAACAGGTTGGGAAGTTTTTTTAAAACTCAAAACACCAACGACGTTTTTGCCCCGTTGGTCAATTTAAAAATGTTGGACCTGTCGAATAACGCTATCAGCGTCCTCCCCCAGAACTTATTCAGCAAACTTTTGAGTCTTGAAATTTTACACTTGGAACAAAATCCTTTAAATGTATTTAATGTGAATTTGACTGATTTAGAAAAATTAAACTATATAAGTTTAAAATCCACAAAATTGTTAAATATAGCAACAGGTATCAGGACGCATATAGACTACCTAATAGACAACAATAAGCAATTTACGATAATTTTGGAGGGAGCTCCTATCAGTTGCACATGTGACAACTACCACTTCCTGTTGTGGATGACGTCATCTAAAGCTTTTAATAGCAAATTCCGAGGTTACGTCTGCGTGTACGGCGATAACTCACAAAAACCGATTGACGATGGTTACAATACTACAGTCAGAAATTTAAACGGTGAATGCACAGATCACGTCACTTTATTTTTATCCGTAGGTGGCGGTTCACTCGTGACATTCTCTTTGATTATCTACGCCTTGCTTTACAGATACAGATGGCGAATAAGATATCTGTACTACGCAGCGTATCTTCAGTACAAAAAATCTGGCAAACAGAAACAAAACGACTTTGAATTCGATGCTTTCATTTCTTACGATCACAAAGATCACAATTTTGTTGTGAACAAACTTTATCCCGAGCTAAAGAAACGAGGGCTGAACGTGTTCATTCACGGCAGAGATTTTGTAGCTGGTGACTACATCGCCTCGAACATCGTCAAAGCTGTCTGTACCTGCAGGAAAACTGTGGTCGTCTTGACGAGGAACATGATCAACAGCTACTGGTGTGGCTACGAAATTCAGATGGCCAATATCGAGTCCATCCACACCGGCAGGCCGGTTCTCATTTTTCTGCTGATGGAAAAAATTCCGGAGACTGACCTTGGCCGGGAACTGCTGTACAACATCCGGAATAACACATACATTCCGTATCCTGATCCACTGCCTGATGCCACCAGCATAGGGAGGTTATGGGATAAACTTGCAAGTGATATCAGAAACTGAAGGAACGCGGGTCTGGTCTACATTAGGAGCTAATAACAAACAAAAATAGCCTATGATATCGGGAACTGGTGACAAACAGAACCAGCTTTTCTCTAATTTTTCTCCGGGGGGGGGGGGGGAGGGGGGGGGGGAAGGGGAGGGGGTGAAAGAAGGCATTTGAAACTTTAGGCACACTTGACGGACACTGGCTCAGGTTAATATTTTCTAGTTTTTTTTTATAATAAGTCCCGGGAGGAGGGGGGGGGGGGGCGGCGTAGGAAATGCTCCAAGGAAGGGTAGTTCCCCCCCCCTCTGAATATATGCTTGATAGGAACTTTGAACAGAACAAAAAGAGAAGCAGTGATGCTAAAAAATTAAGCAATACGAAACTTGCCTGTGATTCTAATTTAACGGGAATATTCTTCGATAACACTAATGGTGAGACAGTTTTTAAAAAAATCAATTTTCAATTACTTAAATTTTTAAAAAATAAAATAGTATCTCGTAGAATTGCACACCAAATGAACAGCAAACAATGTAGAATAAGTTCCTCTTCCGGTTACCGAAACTCGCTGAAAGGTGGATACAGAATTACAAAATGGATATAATACTTATATATGACATTTCGTCAACCTAGCTGTAACGGTGCTCAAGATATTGTGTTCACAGACAGATACACATAGAGAGACACACAGATATGCAGACTAAATTGCAAAACCATTTTTTTTCCGACTCAGGGAAATGTAAAACGTCGAGATTTCTGAAAATCTCCATTTCGATTTTTTGCAAGATTACAATACTTCCTCTATACTTTGTATACTTTACATGCCCTTGGACAGCCAGGCCATGGACTGCAGAGGCGTAGCGAGGGGGGGGGTTACATATGTCCCCGGGCGCCGACCTTAGGGGGCGCCAATATGGGTTGGAAAAACAAATTATAGTTTGAGGGGGGTGGTGCAAATCGAAAGTTTGAGAAGGGGGGGGGGTGCAAATAGAAAGTTTGAGGAGGGGGTTGCAAATCGGAAATTTGCTCCGGAAGGGGCGCCAAATTGAAAGTTTGTCCCCGGGCGCCGGGAAGGGTCGCTACGCGTCTGATGGACTGCAGGGAAAATGCTCTTACTTGGGAACACATTTTACTTTGTTTGATGCACTTTTATTTGTTTTTAAATAAAACATGTGCTTAACCTTTAAAATTCTCTGAGGATTTGTCGTACTAGTGAAAGTAATGTGTTGCAGGCCTATCCAATCTATGAAAAGAACATTCGACAACTGTTATATTATTCTATTAACATTCTCTTTGCTGAAATCAAGCATATGCATTGTATGTCAGTTTAAATAAAATAAGACAAAGACGTCCGTCCAGCAACTAGGTCTACAAATATTTACGTGTGTTTTTTATTTCAAGATTCACTAAGGCTTTTATTACAAGCTTTTATTTAACTTGCTTCCTCTGTCGTCAGTCTGTCTAGACCGAAACGCCGGAGTGAAAATTCGGAAACTTCTACTTGACCGATACGATTCACATTTGGCACGTGGGACAAGACATGAAGACAATGCAATCTGAAACTAAATTTGACTTAATTGGATGCCTAATTAATTTTTTATGAATTAATTAAAATTTGGACCGAATTAGTAGGCATGTCTATCCAACCACACGCGTCATCACGTTCAATAGCTGCGCCATCACGTTCAATGGCTGCGCCATCACGTTCATTAGGCGCGCAATGGTTTTTAGTCATGTAACTCTATTGTAAATAAAACATGTAAAGTACTGAAAAAAATTCATAAAAAACGTTTTAATAACAAGCTTTTATGTAATGATGCACTAAAAAGTAGAAAATAAATTATAGACTACTATTTAAATTACTATAAAGAAAAGCGTGGTGTCTTCCTTAACATTAGTAAAGGTATCCAATAGATACTAAAGTGACCCACGCTTTTCTTTATAGTAATTTAAATAGTAGTCTATAATTTATTTTCTACTTTTTAGTGCATCATTACATAAAAGCTTGTTATTCTAACGTTTTTTATGAATTTTTTTTGTTTATGCCTCACTGTGAAATTTTAAAACTAAAAACAAATGACTCATTCATGTTACGTTAAAAAACGATTTTTGTGTATATGTATATTATGTGGTATTTTATTGTATGTGTGTATGTGGTATGTTATTTAAGTGCGTATATGGTATTTTATTATCAGAGTTTCTTCCAGGCATCTCTTCAAAATTCTACCGCCCCCCCCCGAACGAAATGAAATTTATATAATTTATATAGAAAATATATACTTTTAACAGTGTCCGCCCCCCCCCCCCCCGAAGAAAGTCTACCGCCCCCCCCCCCCCGAAAATTTCAAGTGCCCCCCCCCCCCCCCCCGGAAAAAAAAGTCTGGAAGAAACACTGTTTATTATCCATCATCTGTCTGCATAGAGGGGTGGGGGGGGGGGTCTGATACATGGGCAACATCTGGCTCTTCTCACCTTACCGCCCTCACTTTGTGCTTGGATTTCCAAAGCGCAATCATCAAATTTCTGTTAGACTATGGAACAATATGTATATATATATATATATATATATATATATATATATATATATATATATATATATATATATATATATATATAGGCTCGTCAGTTTCGATCTATGACGACAAAAAGACAGACAAAAGCACGATAGACAGAGGAAGAAAGTTAAATAAAAGCTTGTAAAAAGAAATAAAAACACGATTTAAAAAATAAACTTTTAAAAATAATTTTATAAACAAATTACTTCCAATTTTCGAACACATTAAACATTATTTCCCGACAAGTTACGAATGATCAGTTCATGTGGCAATCATCAAACGATTAAAACAATGAGTCACAGCATAGGTACAAAACGTAGGGTCAACTGTATGCTTGAGAACTCCACTAGACATCAGAATACTGGACATCACACTGCTGTACTTTAGACCACCAGACATCAATATACTGGACATCCCAATGTTGGGTATTAACAACTCTACGTCAGGATACTGGACATAACATGTCTAACACTAGAACTTAAATGTAATCAAACCATCTAGCACTAGAAGATTGCATTTAACAGCATGGAATGGGAACAGATAACGTAAATTTTCGCAAATTCTCTCTCACACCTATGTACATAAGATATACTCTGAGCAATCTAAAGATCACTTACAGTATTTATACCTTTATACTGTAATACTAAAATCATAAATAAAAGCTAAAAAACATGTATTACATATGTATAAATGAGTCTACGACAAATTCCCGAAAGACACTTGCCCGAATACCGTTTGCCCGAAGGCATTCGGGCAAGTGTCCTTTCGGGCATTTGTCGCATTCGGGCAAGTGTCCATTCGGGCATTTGTCGCATTCGGCTAGTGTCCATTCAGGAAATCGGCCTTAGGGCAAACGACATTAGGGCAAGTGTCTTTCGGGAAAACGCCCGGCTCCCGTATAAATAAGCATGTAATATATAGATTGCAATGACATAAAAATAAATGTTGTGTTGCAAAGATAAAACAAAAAGGCTATACACATCGTCGCACCTCAACCAATTTAAACTTGAAATAAACCTCGTTCAAAGAATCAGCTTATCCATTGATGATTTGTTTTGAATTACTTGCCAACAAATACAATTTAACATCCCTTCTAAAATAAACCTACACTTTTATAGACTATGTTGATTGATTTGCGGTACAGGAATTAGTGTATTTTAATATGCGGCTTTAGTTCCTGGTAGCACATGCCAGTTCTGTGTGTCAGTAGTTCCTAATGTAGGCCAGACCCCGCGTTCCTTCAGTTTCTGATATCACATGCCAGTTTGTCCCATAACCTCCCTATGCTGGTGGCATCAGGCAGTGGATCAGGATACGGAATGTAAGTATTGTTCCGGATGTTGTATAGTAGTTCCCTACCCAAATCGTTTTTTGGAATTTTTTCCATCAGCAGGAAAATAAGAACCGGCCTGCCGGTGTGGATGGACTCGATATTGGCCATCTGAATTTCGTAGCCACACCAGTAGCTGTTGATCATGTTCCTCGTCAAGACGACCACAGTTTTCCTGCAGGTACAGACAGCTTTGACGATGTTCGAGGCGATGTAGTCACCAGCTACAAAATCTCTGCCGTGAATGAACACGTTCAGCCCTCGTTTCTTTAGCTCGGGATAAAGTTTGTTCACAACAAAATTGTGATCTTTGTGATCATACGAAATGAAAGCATCGAATTCAAATTTGATTTGCGTCTCCTTCTTTGATTTCTTGTACTGCAGATACGCTGCGTAATACAGATATCGTATTCGCCATCTGTATCTGTAGACCAAAGTGAAGATAATCAAAGAGAAGATAAGAACAACACTCCCACTAACGAGTAAAAACAAAATTATATGATCTTCACATTGGCGTTTTAAAATAGCCATTGTTGCGTTGTAACCATCTTTGATATATTTAATCGAATGATCATTTGGGTTAATGCAAATATTCTCTTCAAACTTTGTCCGAAAAGCCCCGGATGTGGTCATCCATTTTAGAAAATCAAAATTCTCACAATTGCAAGTAATGGGCGCACAGCTCAAAGACATCCTAAATGTGACGTTTTGAGCTAATAGAGAGTTGATGTAATCTCTCAAATACGGTGCTATAGTTTCGATTCGTGTGTATTTTAAACTTAAATATTCTAATTTTTTCATGCCAGATACATCAACGTCAAAAGCATACAGAGGGTTTGTATCCAAATATAGTTTTCGTAAGTTAGTTAATTGACTGAATACGTCATTTGGGAGCGAAGTTATTGAATTAAAGGAAAGATTCAGAAATTGGAGGTTTGATAGGCTGGAAAAAACTCTGGAAGAATTTCGTCCGTTGAAATAGTAACCGAGGAGGTTGGAGCTCATGTTTAAGACTTGGAGACTGGTCAAGTTGATAAAAAAGTTGTGATTGATGTGGCTTACGAAACAAAACGAGATATCGAGATACTTTAAATGGTGGAAACCTTGCAGAGGTCCGCGTAGTTTTGAAAAGTGATTGTCCGTGATGCTGAGATACTCTAGTTTGTTTTTCTGAACGACAAGTTTTGATAATTCGTAATTCAGATTAGCGCCGTTCATTTCTAAACGGTTTAAATTTGGTGGTAGAGCAAAAATGATATCTTCGTTGTCGGTATACGTCTGGTTGTATAATGTGCATTTTTTAGTTGACATCGAATAGAATAGTTCGTAAGGGTAACGCTTTGGAATTCCATACGTGAATCCAGCTTTGTTTAGTTTAAGGACAGTAAGGTTCTCCAGTTTAGAGAGGTCTTGCAAATACGTGCCGAAAACAAATCTGTTTCCACTCAAATCTAAAGTCTTCAAGGTTTTTGGAAGTCTTTGAATAAAATCTCTGTCCACGGCTTCAACGTTGTTTTCTTGAGCTTCAAGGTACTCCAAGTTTGGAGGGAAATGATTGAAATAGGAACTCTCCAAACAAATTCCCAATGAATATCTGTTTACGATTAGATTCATCCGTAGAAATTTCAACGACGTTGTGTTTTTGATGCCGTGTAAGACACGGTTAAAGTAGGGAATGTCAATATCTTCGTTATGGGTTAAGTCAAGGGTGACCAAATTTTTTAAAGGCAAGAAGGCATCATGATGAATGTTACGACCTTTTATGAAACAGGAGCTAAGATTCAAGTATTTTAAATTAGTCAAATATATAAACGTTTTGTTGGTCAGAGTATGTATATAACATTGCCCTTCAAAATAGCCAGCGACTGTTAAATTTGTAAGCGAAGTCATGTTTTGAAAACCTGGTCCAAACGGTTGTTCAAAAACACCGTCTAAAAATAAAACCTCAAGTTTTCGTAGCCTCGATAGAGATTTATCCGGATATCTGGAAGTGTAAAATGTAGTGTTAATCATGTTTAGTTTCAGCCAGGTTAGGCTTTGAAGCGGACTGAAAACATTTTCATGAAATGTCGTTTCCATCATAACCAGCGGATTTCCTCTTAGGTTCAAATGGGTTAAATTTGAAAGCCCATTAAACGCAAGAGGTTGAATAGTTTTTATTAAGTTATTCGAAAGATCGAGAATTTTCAACACAGTGTATAACAAAAAGCCATCATCTTGTAGAACGGTGATTGAGTTGTTCATAAGCAGAAGATATTCAGTGGTGCTAGGCAGAGTGATGTCATCGACGTGTTTTAACCCACAGAAGGAATAAACGGCATACGTCTCGTTATTCCAGCATTGCTTGCTGACGTTTTTCTGCCTCATGGAATCAAAACTTCGCCCGATTAGGGCTGGACAGCTGGACGCGGTGACGTCAGTGTACAATTTAAATAGGTAGAGTGTGAGTACTAAGAGTATCATCGTGTGGATGCTGTACTGATGCTGTACTGATGTGGTACTGATGTTCTACTGATGCTGTACTGATGTTGTACTGATGCTGTACTGATGTTGTACTGATGTTCTACTGATGCTGTACTGATGTTGTACTGATGTTCTACTGATGCTGTACTGATGTTGTACTGATGTTCTACTGATGCTGTACTAATGCTGTACTGATGTTCTACTGATGCTGTATTGATGTTGTACTGATGTTCTACTGATGCTGTACTGATGTTGTACTGATGTTCTACTGATGCTGTACTAATGCTGTACTGATGTTCTACTGATGCTGTACTGATGCTGTACTAATGCTGTACTGATGTTCTACTGATGCTGTACTGATGTTGTACTGATGCTGTACTGATGTTGTACTGATGTTCTACTGATGCTGTACTGATGTTGTACTGATGCTGTACTGATGTTGTACTGATGTTCTACTGATGCTGTACTAATGCTGTACTGATGTTCTACTGATGCTGTACTGATGCTGTACTGATGCTGTACTAATGTTGTACTGATTTTCTACTGATGCTGTACTGATGCTGTACTGATGTTCTACTGATGCTGTACTGATGTTCTACTGATGATGTACTGATGCTGTACTGATGCTGTACTGATACTATACTGATGCTGTACTAATGCTGTACTGATGTTGCACTGATGTTGTACTGATGCTGTACTGATGTTGTACTGATGTTCTACTGATGCTGTACTGATGCTGTACTGATGTTCTACTGATGTTGTACTGATGTTCTACTGATGCTGTACTGATGTTGTACTGATGTTCTACTGATGCTGTACTAATGCTGTACTGATGTTCTACTGATGCTGTACTGATGCTGTACTAATGCTGTACTGATGCTGTACTGATGTTCTACTGATGCTGTACTGATGCTGTACTGATGCTGTACTGATGCTATACTGATGCTGTACTAATGCTGTACTGATGTTGGACTGATGTTGTACTGATGCTGTACTGATGCTGTACTGATGCTGTACTGATGCTGTACTGATGCTGTACTGATGCTATACTGATGTTGTACTGATGCTGTACTGATGTTCTACTGAAGCTGTCCTGATGCTGTACTGATGTTGTACTGATGTTGTACTGATGCTATACTGATGCTGTACTGATGCTGTACTGATGCTGTACTAATGCTGTACTGATGTTGGACTGATGTTCTACTGATGCTGTACTGATGCTGTACTGATGCTATACTGATGCTGTACTAATGCTGTACTGATGCTGTACTAATGCTGTACTGATGTTGGACTGATGTTGTACTGATGCTGTACTGATGCTGTACTGATGCTGTACTGATGCTGTACTGATGCTGTACTGATGCTATGATGTTGTACTGATGCTGTACTGATGTTCTACTGATGCTGTACTGATGCTGTACTGATGCTGTACTGATACTATACTGATGCTGTACTAATGCTGTACTGATGTTGCACTGATGTTGTACTGATGCTGTACTGATGCTGTACTGATGCTGTACTGATGTTGTACTGATGCTGTACTGATGCTGTACTGATGCTGTACGGATGCTATTCAGATGCCGTGTTGATGTACTGAGCTGTCTTGCAGATACCTTTATAACTGAGAGTGAAAAAAAGGATTATAAAAAAAATTCTTAAAATTTCACATTTAAATTATTTAAATGTATAAAGTTGGCTATTGTCAGAGGTGTCGCGAGGCGGGTGCGATGAGTGAGGGGGGGGGGGGTGCGGACCGCACCAGGCGACACCATTTAGAGGGGAGACACCAAGATAAAAAAATAAATAGAAGAAAAATGCTTAATTCATGATTATTTAGAGTTAAAATGTCGTATTAAGTGCAAATCGAAGATTCCGATATGGGATGGGGGGGGGGGGGGGGGGAAGGGTGACACCTGGAAGTAAACCTGTCAATTATAGAGAAAACAATTTTACATTCAGCTGTATTACAAACAGCTATATATATATATATATATATATATATATATATATATATATATATATATATATATATATATATATATATATATATATATATGATTCTTTTTTGTTGGTTGGGGGGGGGGGGGGGGACACCAATAGTTGCGGCAACGGGTGACACGCGACCTAGCGACGCCACTGCTACTAATTATGTAAAATTTTATAGACAGCAAAACTCCACGGTATCGAAAAATTACAAAATTACAGAGCATTCTGTATTATTCTATAATTTTATAATATTTACGCCTTTCTTCATCTTCAACATTTGACAGCTAAGAAGCTATGATGAATGGTAGGAAACAGTTTAAACAATAATATATAAAAATAAAAACAGTATTTAAATAAAGTCAGCTCAGGAAAAAAAAAATTATTGCATTTTTCAGTACTTACCTTACAATATTTAATATCAGAAAGTAAAACTTAAAAAAAAAAACAACATCTAGCTAGTCGCCCAAAATGATGTATATGGAACGGGAAACAAAAATATTTTTGTTGAATTTAAAAAAATAAAAATTTCTTTCTTCCTGTTTTTTTCATGCTGCTTTCGTGTCGACACTCGTGGAAACTGATCTCAACTTTTATCAGACACTTTTACACCTCCTTGTTGAGAAAGAGATTTAGAGTTTCGAGAAAATTTCGAGAAAATGTATTTCAATCAATTTAATCGATTTGCTAGTAGTATCTAATAAGGCAATTAATTTGTGTATAATTTTAGAAATTTAAAAAATGTAATCAGTTAAAAAAAAATTATAAACACCTAATAAACTATTTCAAATTTAGGATATAAAAGAATGCTGAATCGAAAACTAAATTCCATGTTGACTTCGTTGAATTTAACATGCACATTTTTTTTATAAACGCAAGATATCTTGATTATTATATAGCCCTTTTTATACATTTAGTCCTAAATGTAAAATGATGTAACATAATTATTAATTTAATTATTTGCCAGTTATCAATAAGCATTTATTATAATGATTAAGCATTACATATATATATATATGTATATATATATATATATATATATATATATATATATATATATATATATATATATATACACGGTGTGGTGTGTTAGGTGTACTAGAACCTTCCCCCCCCCCCCTCCACTGACAGCTGGTACATGTCGCCAACGTGTCGCTTTTACTGATTTTATTTCCGGATGTGTGTTTACATATTAATAAACAAACACATTTAAAAAAATAAACAAGAATCGAGCGAGGTTACCTACTTAGGTCGGTTGTGGTGTTACGAAGGTGAGAGGGTTAGAACTACCTTCCTCATATGTCACCCAAAAAGTTAAACTTTTTTGTTTGTTTACAAAATTTAGAATATCATGAAATATAAACAACTATTGTACGCTTTTAGAATAGTTAATTGTTTTATATGAGTCACAACTTCCGACACTGGCATAAGATAGATAGAAAGATAATAATAAATAGATAGTGTGTGTATAGAAAAAATGACCCCTCCCTCCGGATAATTTCTGGCTATACCTCCGTTTACCTATGACATAGACATTAATTTCTATTGATAAACATCCAAAATACAAGAAGATTTGTACACATTTACTAATTCACATAACCTCCGACGCCCCTAAATACAAGCTAGAGAAGGTTACTATGTTTGCTGATCCAGGAAGTGAATTATAAATGGAGAATGACTCAGCAATAAGAGACGTACAAAAGTATTCGTTTATTTGTCCAGCTATGTTATTTAGATTTTCCACACCTAATAAAGGTATTGTGCTTACAATTTTATTTAGCAGTACGATTTCCGAAGGGGCCATTTACTTACCATAGTCGTCGGAAAACTAAGTGTATTCTTATCTGTATATACATATGTATATATATATATATATATATATATATATATATATATATATATATATATATATATATATATATATATATATATATATATATATATGTCATCCACATTCGACCAAGATGGAATTTTAAAAATAGTAAGTTAAGAATAGTCAACTGAAATCGTTATTATATTTTAATTTTCCATTTCGCACAATAATAGTTCTAATTCATCAATATTATGATTATGGCATCATAAAGAAATTAACCATGAGTTATATATTAACATAATCGGATTTGAGTGTTTTAATAGCTGTCTAATGGAAGCATGTGTTTATTTGTAAGACACAACTCTTTTTTGTATGGTTTGTCTTTAGCAAGTAACTAATAAAAACAAATCGTGTTATGATTTTAAAGACAAAAAAAAAAAACACTGGTTTAACTAATTCAAAGAATTGCAGATACCATCAAATTGAAGTTTACTATTGTTTATAAGATAATATTTTGTAGTTTCAGAAATCAGAGCCAAATGCAACAACCACTGTAGTGTCCACCCTCCACCCCCCCCCCCCCCCCTTACTATTCCACTTCTTACAAATAAAACAATTATATTTTTTAAATGGCAGAATTTTTATTTACATGGCAATTAAAGCTTACAATAGCAATCAAATTAGATATCTTACAAGATTTTTTCAAGCTATATCTCACAGATTTTTTCAAACTAAGATATTTTTCTTATTTTTTTAGTCTTAATTAAGAAGGATTGTAAAAACATGTTAATAGTATCCAACAATATTAATCACAATTTTTTTTTAAATTACTTACCAAATATTTTGCAAGCTATATCTTGCTAATAGGATTTATCACACTTTAATATCTTAAAGATATCTTAGTCTAAAAGTTAAATCATCAGAGTGCTACATAGATATGTATGTATGTATATATATATATATGTATAACGTTAAATCAACAATCCTTGGCGTGCTACCTAGAACTGAATGCAGTTCATTACTTGTCTAAATATATCACGTTACACAATTCTCTTCCTCTAAAGTGACAACGAATCGAAGGCGAATTCTTCGTGTCAACATTTGAACGCGATTCTTCGTGTTAAAATTTTGATCGCAATGTTTAAAAATTTAATCGTGGGAGGCTTTGTTTTTTCAATTTCCTGGTCCTAGTTTCAAGAATTTTTAAAAATAAAACTGAGTATTCAAACCACGAGTTCTGTTTTGTTATTATTCAATTCTAATATAACGTCAGAATAAATTCGTATCTTTTTATGTTTTTACATTTGAAAATAAAGGTGTGTTGTATCCTGTATTTTTTTATTTGTTTTATATATATATATATATAAATATATATATATATATATATATATATATATATATATATATATATATATATATATATATATATATATATATATATATATATATATACTGCTATAATGCAATTAAAAATTACGATTAAAACATGCTGTTAAAATACTTTTGTGAGTGGCAGCATAACTACTTAAAATTGCATGCTTCTTTGTCGACGCATTAAGTAATGTAACATGATAAAGTCAAGGCAGTTTCATGAAAGGAATTAAATAATACAGTCCAAACTAAAATAAAGCATCAGAGCACAGAAATGGCTAAAAATTACATTTATCATGGTTTTTGATCCACAAAAGTTGTGAAATATATTTCAAAACTTGTAATACATGAAGACAAAGCATATATATATATATATATATATATATATATATATATATATATATATATATATATATATATATATATATATATATATATATTTATTTATTTATTTATTTATATATATATATATATATATATATATATATATATATATATATATATATATATAAATGAACAAATGAGGGTGAATACAAATATATAACAATATACACACACAAAAACACACACACACACATGTAGTTGTTCACTAAATTGAGACATGCGCGTACGCCGGCGCCCCGGCAGGGTTCGATTTGACGCCCTATGCTATCGTGTGAGCGCTATGGTGCATAATTTTGTTTTAAACATTGTGATAGACTATGGATAAGAAAGGTTACTACAGTCTTTTGCGCTTTTTTTTCTGGTTGCGCATTTTCTGTGTGCGCTTTTGTCTGTTTTCTCTTTTTTCTGTTTTCGCTTTTTTCCGTTGCGCATCTTTCTGGTCACCATATGTTTATACCGCGTAAAAATAACATTTTTTTAATCTCCAAAGAAAAAAGGTGGTAAAAAAAGAAGAACAAATTCAATTTAAATATATTGTTTATAAGATTCAAATATAACTGTGTTCGCCGGTGTCTTAGACATAAAAAGGCACAGAATGCCAGCAAATGGATAATCTTTTTCTAATACGTTTTCGAAAAGCGCTACACAAAGTAGGAAAATTGTGAGGACACTTTCTACATCCTGGTTTCTAGCCTTGTTAATAATTTACAGTTTTCTAATAACCGTAAACACCCGGTTAACCGTTGGATAACTTCCAAAATCCACGGTATAAAAAGATTGACGATTTCCTTAAGGTTATTTCGTGACATCATGGAGCAGACACGTGTTTTTCTAGATCAGGACTCCATGAACCAGCTCTGTAAGTAACCAGTTCCTGACAACACAGTCGATTTCTGCATGTCATTATTTTAAATGTAGACCAGATTCGTATTCCTTCAGTTTCTGATATCACTTGCAAGTTTGTCCCATAACCTCCCTATGCTGGTGGCATCAGGCAGTGGATCAGGATACGGAATGTAAGTATTGTTTCGGATGTTGTACAGCAGTTCCCGGCCAAGGTCAGTCTCCGGAATTTTTTCCATCAGAAGAAAAATGAGAACCGGCCTGCCGGAGTGGATGGACTCGATATTGGCCATCTGAATTTCGTAGCCACACCAGTAGCTGTTGATCATGTTCCTCGTCAAGACGACCACAGTTTTCCTGCAGGTACAGACAGCTTTGACGATGTTCGAGGCGATGTAGTCACCAGCTACAAAATCTCTGCCGTGAATGAACACGTTCAGCCCTCGTTTCTTTAGCTCGGGATAAAGTTTGTTCACAACAAAATTGTGATCTTTGTGATCGTAAGAAATGAAAGCATCGAAATCGAAGTCGTTTTGTTTCTGTTTGCCAGATTTTTTGTACTGCAGATAGGCTGCGTAGTACAGATATCGTATTCGCCATCTGTATCTGTAGAGCAAGGCGTAGATAATCAAAGAGAATGTCATTAGTGAACCGCCACCTACGGATAAAAATATAACCACGTGACTACTGCATTTCCCGTTTAAAATTAGCATAGTAGAATTGTAGCCGTCGTTGACATACTTCGTTGACTGATCTTCAGAGAAACAGAGATAGTGTTTAAAGTTTTTCTTAAAAGCGCCGGATGTGGTCATCCATTTTAGGAACTCGAAGTTCTCACACGTGCAAGTTATGGGCACAAATGCCAGAGACAATTTAAAACTTATGTTGTGAGCTAAAAGAGAATCAATGTGAAGTCGTATGACTGGTGAAATATTGTGCAGCCTGGCATGTTTTAAACTTAAGTGCTCCAATTTGTCTAGACGAGATAAATCTACATCAAACGTTTCTATCGTGTTTGTATCCAAATACATTTCCCTCAAGTTCGTTAATTCACTGAATACATCATTCGGTAAAGTAGTGATTGAATTAAAGGAAAGATTCAGCAAACGGAGGTTCGTTAAACTGGAAAACACGATGGAAGAATTTCTATTATTGAAATAATAACCGAGAAGGTTGGAGCTCATGTTTAGAACTTCGAGGCTTGACAAGTTGCTGAAAAATCCATCTTCAATGTGGGCCACGAAACTCAACGAGATATCGAAATATTTTAAGTAGTTGAAGCCTTGTAACGGACCAATCAGAATTGGAAAGCGGTTTTCAGTGATACTGAGGTACTCTAGTTGGTTGTCCTTCACTCGCAGTTTTGAGAGAACATAGTTCAAATTTGCGCCGTTCATTTCTAATCGCTTTAATATGGGTGGTAATGTAAACTCGAAAGTTTCCTCTTCGTATGAGGTTTCGTCATACAATGTACAGTTTTTCTTCTTTGAAGACTGCATCAGGGCGTAAGGATACCTATTTGGGATGCTGTAAGTAAAACCAGCTTTGCTGAGCATAAGAACAGTCAGGTTCTCCATTTTTGAGAGATCAGCCAAGTACGTACCGAACACAAATCTGTTTCCACTCAAATCTAAAGTCTTTAAGGTTTTTGGAAGTTTTTGAATAAACTGTCTGTCCACGGCTTCAATGTTGTTTTCGTGAGCTTCAAGGTACTCCAAGTTTGGAGGGAAATTGTGAAAATAGGAACTCTCCAAACAAATTCCCAATGAATATCTGTTTACGATCAGATTTATCCGGAGAAATTTTAAAGTGGTTATTTCATTCAAGCCATATAAAACATCATTAATGTAGGGAATGTCAATATCTTCGTTATGGGTTAAGTCAAGAAAAATCAAATTCTTTAAAGGCAAGAAGGCCCCAGCTTCAATGTAACGACCTTGTATGAAACAGGAGCTTAGATTTAAGTATTTCAAATTAGTTAAATATATAAATGTATTGTTTGTGAGAGAGTTTATTTTACATCTTCCTAAATAGCCAGAAACTGTTAAATTTGTTAGCGAAGTCATGTTTTGAAAGCCTGAACCAAATGGTTCATCATAAAGCCCATCCAAGAATAAAGTCTCGAGGTTTTGCACGCTCGATAAAGCTTTATCTGGATATGAGAAATTACTGGAGGTGTTTTGAAGCAGGTTAAGGTTCAGCCAAATTAGACTTTTTAACGGGCTGAAAACATTCTCATGGAATGTCGTATCTCTTACCTCTAGAGGATTTGCTCTGAGGTTTAAAGATAATAGTTTAGAAAGTCCATTGAATGCTTGCGGGTTAAGAACAGAGATCAAGTTACACGAAATATCGAGAACTTCCAGCTCGGTGTATAACAAAAAGTCATCGTTCTGTAAAACCGTAATAGAATTGTTTCTAAGGTATAGATAAACGATAGTGTTAGGGAAAACTTTATCTCGTACAGTTTTTAAACCGCATAACGTATAATTAGCGTATGTCTGGTTGTACCAGCAGTGTTTGCTGAAGTTCTTCCCGCTAGTGAGGTCCGGACGTGGCAGGATTGAAGCTTTGGTTGTGTTAACTGCAGATGCATTTGTAAAACTCATAGACGAATATACGCTGAGCTTGAGGACGAGTAGTAGGCAGACTGCTATTTTAAACGACGGTGGCATCTTCAACGTAGTTTTTTTCTGTGAGATATATTTTTCAAAGAAATGACATTGATATTTTATGTTAACAAAACAATAATAGAAGTTAAAAGAAAACTTACCCTTTTATATCTCCCGATCAGTTGGGCAAAAGAAGAAGAGTTCATATGTTTATTTATCTGGCATTTGAAGGGACAGTGTGTTCAATACTATGCCCATCCCCCTTTACCTTCGCAGTTTACACAATGACGTCCAACTCAGAGTCTTAAAGGAAATCCGATTTTGTGACCTTCGAACTAACAACCGAAAGCTCAACCATTCCACCACGAGGTCCCATTAAAGAAACAAGTAATTTTATTGAAAGATGTGAAAAGCTTCGTTGTTTAAATCAAAAATACAATTCACTTGACATATTGACTGATATGTGTCATGCAGATCTATGTATACTTGCATCTTAAAGCCATCAATCACAGTTCACCGATATACATTATTTGAGTGTGCACTTCCTCGAGATCAAAGCTCATCTTCCTCAAGCACATAGATCCTCTACACAAGATCTCCTTACCTTACTCCCCTCCCCCTAGCTAAAAAATTCCCCTTCAACTAGTGTATACGTCTCTTTAACAAAATCTTCAGATCCACATCTAACTCACAGTCCCCCCCCCTTTCTCATTCTCACATACAATAAATATTTGACTTCCGCAAGACGTCCCTCAACCTCAGATTCATCAGACTTAATTCCTCACTAAAGCACATACACAACCACTCCAGTATCCGGGCTTACTAATCAAAACAGGAAACACTAAAACTGTGAAAATGGTCATAAAAGACATGCTTTTGAATCTATGTGTTGGGTCGTACTATATTGTTTATTATTAAGTAAAATTGTTACTTGGTTGTTCGTTAAAGAGGCTTAGTTACAAAAGCCCGAGGGGTTAATCTAAGTTGTTGGGGATGATCAGGCCAGGGAAATCTAAATGTAATTAAATGTTATCGGCTCACGCTGGGCGTTTGGGATAGGAGCTTTATGCAGGTACACGAGTGGCACGTAATAATGGGAAGACACCCGCGGTGATTTAAGTCTAAAGTTGAGTTTGGGCATGATTCAAGGTAGAATCATTACTCATGATCTGCAGGTGGACTTCAGATCACGTCCGTTGACCATAGGGATTCATTATCGCCTGGTCACGATATTTAGACGCGAGCAGTGTAGGGACCTGTAGTAGTCAGTTGTCAGGTGTGATGCGCTGCGCGAGGCCATACGTTAGCTCGAGCGGCGGATGACACGATAGTTAGACCTGAGACAACGGGAAGATCTATAGCGCTCAATTATTGGGTGTGAAACGTATGAGTGCATAGTGACCGGTGTTATCTCGAACGTCGAGGGATGGTACGGAGCCCGACTCGGATTCTATGGCTATAGGGAGATATAAGGGAGGACAGGACTAGCCTATGAGGAAGGGTGGCTATGGTGAGGATACTCTAACACATAGCTGGGGCTAGATACGATGGTCTAAGCCTTAAATGGTGGCAGCCTTAGGGCTGGCCGCGAAGGCTGGCTTATTGGCCCAGTCGTTGTTTTGTTTCTGTGGATGTTTATACTTGAGGCCAGATATTTGCATCTGTAACCTGATGTTTATACATGTTTGTACCAATGGCCCAATGTTTTATTCCAGTGGCTGGAATTCTTCCTGCCGCTTGAGTGTTGAGCTAGATTGTTGAGTACTGCTGAGTATTCATAGAAGGAGTTAAACCGTGTTAGATTAGTGGAAACAGAACAAGTGATGATAACATATACACGTGTGATTCTGAGATTACATAGCAGTGCAAGTGTTAAAGTTAGGACTAGGGACTGTGACCTTTACGTTTTTTTTTATTCTGAGATTACATAGCAATACAAGTAAAATTAAGACTAGATAGAATAACATTTACACGTGTGATTCCGAGATTACTTAACCAGTGCAAGTAGTGAAACTAGGACTAGAGAAAATAACATTTACCTATGTGAATTCTGAGTTGTGTAAATGTATGTTTGCTACTCACACATATATATGTTTTCTATGTATTATTATCAGTAGCCAATGTGAATAATTCCGCATTGAAATGTAAGTTTGATTATTTTTGTCTTTTTGACTTGTATTAGAAATTCAAGTGATGTTTTCTTGAATATGAAAGACGGGCCATGTCTTATATGTATTGTTTCTTTTGCTTTTAACATATAAACCTTTGTGATGTCTAATGAATGTAAATAAATGTATTGAACTGTGTGTTCATAAGTTTTATTTTCCCACGTTTTTTTCCCACGTTTGTTTGTCTTTCCAATCCAATCTTGCGATCGAAATTTCTGGCACTTCCCAGTTAGCTAGCGCGCTGAAATTTTCAGGGAAGCTTTGTTTTGGATGACAATTGAATATTCTATTGTTTTTATTACTAAATTAATCCATGGAAACATTTTATTGATCATTTTAGACCGCTATATAATTGTACAAAAAAACGTGGGGGAAAAGGGACATTACCCAGTAACTGTAATTTGATGAAAACAAGGTTCGGCACTCCTCCTCTTTTTGCTTACTGAGTAGTTGTCACGCTGTGTTTGTGTACAAACAACCATAACGTAACAACTGGTGGTAAGTATGGGGGAGACGATATGGTCGAGTGGTTGGGCACACGATTGCTATCCCACTCGACACGGTTTCAAATCTATGTGTTCTAGTCAGTAACGTATTCACACAACGTGTTTTTTACGAGTTGTCTTTTTACGAGTTGTCTTTTTACGAGTTGTCTTCGTTTACCCAAATAAACTGGTAGTGATCTCCCCTAAACTTTCTCGAATATTCTTATATAAAACAACAGGGGATGGTAACTGGGGATATAGTTATGATTTTTAATCCATTTTAAATACTGAAACTTTTAAAAATAGAATAGAATCTCAGTAAAAAAACAATTGCGCACCAAGCGAACGCCTAATAAAGGTGTGTATAATGGTGCGCAATAGTATTAGTACTTTAAAAATTTACATTAGTTTTTTGAGAAATCGGAAGTAGCGTAAATTACTACTTCCAGTCAACGGAAATTACTCAAAATTTAACAGAAGGTAGAGAATTAGATCTTTTACTTACATGTGAAATTTCATTTATCTATCTGAAATAGTACTCAAGTTATAGGCTTTTGAAAAATTCAAAAAAGAAAAAGTACCACTTCCGGTTGTCGGAAATCGCTCAAAAGTTGATACGGATCTACGATTTTGATAAAATACTTATATATGAAATTTCATCAACCTAGCTGTAACGGTACTCAAGTTATCGTGTTTACACACGGACACACACACACACAGACACACACACACACAGACACACAGACATACGGACAAGATTGCAAAATTATGTTTTTCCGTATCAGTGAGATGCAAAACGTCGAGATTTGCAAAAATCTCGATTTTTTTTTTTTTGCACGATTACAAGACTTTCTCTATATTTCGTATATACGAGAAACGTGCGGCGTCAATTCGGCCAATGACGAAACGGCCCCGTCAAAACGACCCCGACAAAACGACCCCGTCAAAACGACCCCGTCAAATCGGCCCCGTCAAAAGGGCCAGCGACATATGGACCCCGTCATATAGGCTCCCGACAAATAGGCTACCGTCATATAGGCTCCCGACAAATAGGCTCCCGTTATATAGGCTCCCGACAAAAGGGCTCCAGTCAATAAGGCTCCTGACAAATAGGCTCCCGTCATTTTGGCTCCCGACATATAGTCTCCCGTCATTTAGTTTTTTCCACAAAACGGCCCCCTTCATTACGACTACCGACAAATAGGCTCCCGCCATTTAGTTTCTCCACAAAACGGCCCCCGTCATTACGACTCCCGACAAATAGGCTAGCGTCATTTTGGCTCCCGACAAAAAGGCTCCTGTCAATTTGGCTCCAGACAAAAGGACCACTGACACAGTGGCGTAGCTACCGTAAAGCTAGCGTAAGCAAGGCATGGGGGCCCAAGGCACACAGGGGCCCTTTTCCCTCATAAAAAATTAAAACTTTTACAATGGAATTTTAATATTTGTTACATATAAATAATTTTAAAAAAGAAAAAGGTTAAAAGTTGCAAAAAGCCCCCCCCCCCCATTGTTTCGGCAGTGGGATTCAGTGTTTGTGGGTCAAACAGAGCCCAATCGTTATAATAACACTACAGGCTATATCACTTTGTCGTGCAAGAAATTGAGAGAATCAGCCTATAAATAAACTTTTTAGCAGTAGTAGGCAAGCATAATAATATAGTATAAATACAAAATCAGGACATATAAAATACAAAATGTTGCCTTCAGAATATTTATATATTAAAAAATATCCATCGTAAGTAGAAGTTGATCTCTTCGTTTAACTCCTCTGTAGCCTAACGCAGAGGCGTAGCGAAGGCGAGGCGGGGGGTGCGGACCGCAACGGGTGACACCATTTAGGGGGGGTGACACCAAAGGCAAAAAATTGTAAAATTTATAGAATGAAATGCCATTTTCCAGATCCATTAGTTAAAGTTAAATAGTCTTCTAAGTACAAATCGAAAATTATATCAAGAGGGGGGGGGGGGTGTGTGACACCACGACGTAAACGTAAACTATAAAGAAAACAATGCTACATCCAACTGTATTATAAACAGAGTGTAGATAAACATCATTACTATTAAGTCAGCAGTGATTAAAGCTTAAACACGTACGTGTACCAGTATGTGGCATATATATAAATTTTAGGCCTATGTAGGCCGACACACACACACACACACACACACACACACACACACACACACACACACACACACACACACACACACACACACACACACACACACACACACACACACACACACACACACACACATATATATATATATATATATATATATATATATATATATATATATATATATATATATATATATATATATATACATATATATATAAATATATATATATATATATATATATATATATACATATACATATACATATATATATATATATATATATACATATACATATACATATACATATACATATACATATACATATATATATATATATACATATATATATATATATATATATATATATATATATATATATATATATATATATATATATATATATATATATATATATATATATATATATATATATATATATATATATATATGCTTTGTTTCCTGGGAGGGGGTGACAATACGAAGTGAGACCCGACCTAGTGACGCCACTGGCCTAACGGCTGACGAAGGGGCCCACTGATAATTTTTGCATAGGGGCCCAAAAATCCTAGCTACGCCACTGCACTGACAATACCGTTTCTGTAGAAACTAAGTCTCCCGGCAAAGCGGTCTCATTGAATATGACATCTGCCAGTGGGACCCCTTCATCAATATTCTTGAGAGTTAGCTTATTCAACACTCTTATGTAATACAACGTATGCATCTCTTGTTCGGCAGGCCTTATTTTTATATTAGTTTATCTATTATAAAATATAGTATGTTTTAATTTAAGGGTCATCTATCTATGACATCCATAATTGAGTCGGTTATAGGCTGTTCCAACTCATTGTGTGGGGAGAAGGGTCCACGCTGTACCTTCCTAACTGCAATATGCTTGTACAGGGGCGTAGCGAGGGGGGTGCGGACCGCATCGGGTGACACCATTTAGGGGGTGACACAAAGGCAAAAAATAGCAAAATATATAGAGAAAAAGTTGAGGGGGTGGGGGTGCAAATCGAAAGTCTGGGGGGGGGGTGCAAATCGAAAACTTGAAAGTTTGTCCCCGGGAAGGGTCGCACCGGGTGACACCCGACCTCGCTACGCCACTGTGCTTGTAGGTTATCAAAACAAAATGCTGTTATCATGTTAACATCATGTATATCATACATTTACACTTCTGTGCTCGCTTTTAAGCAACAGATCTTTTCTGTTGTAAATTAATATCAAAACTTTAGAATTTGTAGAATTTAGCTGTTAAGGGCTCGATTTGTTTGTGAATTAATGTTGGTTCATGAAAAAATAATTTCATTCGGGCATTAAAAAGAGGTTATGGTGGTATTGGAGGTAGGACACAATGGTTACTTTTAT